GCTTCCCCCAGATGACAGTGGTCCCTTTGGACAACCAGTGGAGACTGTCCCTGAATCAGAGGGACAGGGTTACTACACTGGCTGGTGCGACGGACTCCAATCACCGTGAGGCAACTGGGCGGCTAGCGTGCAGGCGGACAGGGACATCGATGTGTAACCTAGCGTATTCACTGGGCACCTCTTGGTACTCAGGACTTTCAGGCTCAACTGTAAGAGGAGACAACAAGGGAAGTCTTCTAAAACCAAGACTATTAAGGTCTCAGACTTTCTGGAAGGGAAGCTAAGGTCACCCAACCAGCCAAGGTGCTGGCTGAGGGCCAGGAACCAAGGCCTGGGCGACGGAGAGGGGATCAATGCCAAGTAGGGCCTTGCGACTCCATACAGAACAGGGAGGCGGAGGGCCCCCTCCCCCTCCAGCGCCCCCACTTTGTGTGACAAGCCGCGGTGCATCCACTGCACAAAGTCATGAAGGACTGACCCTGTCCTAGAGGAGGGGCTCTGCTTCCCCTGGAGAGCAAGGCCGTGTGGGCCGTGGAGAGGCGCAGAGCATCCCACGATACGCCCCTCAGGTCAGGTATGTGCACTAGGTTATGCCTCGGTCATTAACTGTGGGTGAGGCACGAGAACCGAAGGGCTGGCTGGTGCTGCCCACGAACCTTCAGACTGATTCTCATCTGTCTGCCCTGCACGAGGATCGTCCCAGGCTGCCCTTCCAGCCTCGGTGGCCAGGAGGGCAAAGATGGGCGTTTCTCTCCCTTCCGCCGCGCTGCATGCAGCATCCGTATGACCGGCTCCTGCTGGAGGACCCTGTCCCCTTGTCCATCGACCTGCAGCCCCAGGCCAGCAGCTTCTGGCCGGGCTCACCACAGCCCCTGCACCACCGGAGTAATCAGACCCTTGCATTAAATCCCCTTTCCTTGGGCACCTGGGGTGGTTGCTGTTTCCCTGCCGGGGCCCGGATTCAGACAGGACCCTATTATTAGATTAAGGCATCCTGGCCCAGACTCCAGTTGGTCATGACGTATTTGTTCATCTTCCGTTACGAAAATTTTCACACAACCAGATACGCACCATATGAACTAGATTCAACATCTAACAGATTTTGCCATGTTTACTTAATACATATTCACGTGCATTTTTTTTCTGATCATAGAACCATTTCAAAGTATGTTGCATAGGTTGTGGCTCCTTATTCTTTAAAATTTATTTTTTTTTAAAAATTTTAATTTAAATTCAATTAACATCTAGTGTATCATTAGTTTCAGAGGCAGAGGTCAGTGATTCATCAGTTGCATGTAACACCCAGTACTCATTACATCACGTGCCCTCCTTCATGCCCGTCACCCAGTTACCCCAGCCCCCTACCCCCTCCCCTCTGTAACCCTCAGTTTGTCTTCTAGAGGTAAGAGCCTCTCATGGTTTGTCTCCCTCTCTGGTTTCATCTTGTTTCAGTTTTCCCTGCCTTCCTCTATGATCCTGTCTTGTTTCTTAAATTCCACAGAAGAGATCATATGATACATGTCTTTCTCTGATTGACTTATTTCACTCAGCATAATACCCTCCAGTTCCATCCACATCCTTGCAAATGTCAAGATTTCATCCTTTCTGATGGCTGCATAATATTCCATTGTATATATATATACCACATCTTCTTTATCCATTCATCTGTCGATGGACATCTAGGCTCTTTCCACAGTTTGGCTATTGTGGACATTGCTGCTATAAACACTGGGGTGCATGTGCCCCTTCTTTTTACTACATTTGTATCTTTGGGGTAAATACCCAGTAGTGCAATTGCTGGGTCTTAGGGTAGCTCAATTTTCAACTTCTTGAGGACCCTCCATACTGTTTTCCATAGTGGCTGCACCAGCTTGCATTCCCACCAACAATATAAGAGGGTTCTCCTTTCTCTGTATCCTCGCCAGCATCTGTTGTTTGTCTTGTTGATTTTAGCCACTCTGACTGGTGTGAGGAGGTATCTCATCGAGGTTTTGATTTGTATTTCCCTGATGTGGCTCCTTATTCTCAGTAATTCTGTGTATAAAGCCTAAGAAAGCAGCATTCTGTTACCTGTCAGCACACCCAAGATTTACAATCAACTCCCTTGAAATCTATTACCCAGCACAGATTCAGGTGTACCCCCAGTGGCCCCCAAAACTATCTTCACAGCTGCTGTCCCTCAACTTAAGGACTAAGCTTCACCACTGCACTGGGTTCTGTCTCCTTGAGCGAACAGGTCCTCACGTTTGTTTTCCCATCGGTGTGGCCAACCTGATGAGACCGGGTGAATCACTTACACAGTGTCCTGCATCTATCCTCTTCCTCACAGTCTCATGCACTTTGCTCCTCCAAGCCGGGGGCGGCCACCGGAGACACCGTGCAGCCCACAAAGCATCACCCCCCGAGGCCCAAACGCCAGGCCGCCTGCTCGTCCGGGAGGTGCTTTTAGGACGCCAACGGAGGCTGCCGCTGGGGGCTGCAGAATGGCGGTTCTCTAACTGGATTGTCCCCGCTCCCTAGTAATGAGCCAGCACTTTTCCATGACCAAGAATGTTCCCTTGCCTGGGAGGATACCTGCAGTTCCCCCACTGCGGCTGGGTGATGATGGGGATGAACTCCCACGGGTACAGAGCTGGTACGATGGTCCCTTCTGCTGGTGGCTCCACATGAGCCCTCCCACGTGGGTAATTCTTCAGTATGTGATAACTTATCTACCACAGTCACTCTCCTTCTGGACGGGAAACTGAAGAGACCCTGCCGGGGCTCCTGCCCCCGGGGGCTGGTAGCGATCCCGGACGCCGTGAAAGCAAGCGGCCGAGCACACAGCTCGGCAGAGCGGGGCAAACACTAGAAAACTGGCCCGACAGTCACGTTCGCTGACACACAGAAAATGCAGACGTGCACCAGTGCTACAAGGAAAATCTACCATGGAAATAAGCAGTCGTCTGGAAAAAGGTGTTTTATATTAACACCTACGCCTGGTGTCCAAAGGTGCTAAAACCACATGGAAATACTTAGAAACCAAGGAAGACCGAGGCAAGCGGCCACCTTTCGGTCTTTACTGGGCGAAGAGGCCTTTGCGTTCCACAGAAAACTTTGACGTACAGTTCAACATAAATTCTAGGTCTGTTTTGGTTTTTCGCCAACAATGAAGCAAATTGGATAAAACTAAAAAACAACACAAGGGCCATTCACAAATAAAACAGTGCTGTGATTTTATTCTTTTTCTTTTTGGTGTGTTTTTGTTTTTAAACCAAGTTCCCATCTGTACACTTTAAGAAAATAAACAACAGGGAAACCAGTCTCTGCTCACTTCTTGGAGGCGAGCAGGGCAGCTCGGCCACACGCACGGAGCTGGGCAGGCGCCCGTCACGCACGAGCGCACACGTCACCTTGTGAAGGAAGGAGCTAAAACACACAGAAGTTACAGAAGATACTCCATTTGGCTTTGCAGCATTGCAAAAAGAGGAGAATGCTTAATGAGCGGCACTCGGGGGCTGGCATCTCGGCCACGCCATGCCACGAGCTTCCTTGGAGAAAGGGAAAAAACAAATCTTTCCCTCAGATAGAACTGTCACAGGTAAGAGCCACAAGGATTTTATTCACTGTGTAATCTTCTGGCGGCAGGATTTCTTTGAAGCGGAATCTAAAAATAAAAATGACACAGCAATTCGTTAGAGGTCTTCGTGTGTCTTTTAAGAAGAATTTCAAAATTTTGAAACAGTGTCACTGAATTAATCTCATTTCTGGTAAAAATGACCATTAACGTATACAACGGTTTAAACTGTGATGGTAAAGAAGCCCCAGACAGATTACGTGCTGGCTGGACCGTGGTCTTGTGCCCTGTGTGCCTGAGGGAAGGGAGCTGAACCACAGGCCCAACGAGGGATGAACCCACGGTCCCCACGGCTTCCTGCTAAGGACACGTCCTTCCGATGCTGCTGCTGACAGCTGGTTATGAAGACTGATACTAACAACACTCAGCCGAACGCTACAGGCTTTGCGGTGTTGCTCTTCGTTCCTTGTGTGCAGCGTATTGTTGTAAAAAACAGAGAAGAACTTTTGTTACCTGGAGGCGCTCCGCCCAGTCTTTGCTGGATCATTTCTAAATGATGAATATATTCCGTCAAGGAATGTTCAGGATCTTGAGAAGCAGTCAGGGATCTTTCTGATCTTGAATGTGGGGACGGAGTGGATCTTCAAACAAACAAGCAAGCCACACCAAGAAACAAAGAGTGAAAGTCAACACATGGTGAACGTAGCCAGCATGCAGACAGGCGGTGGGGAATAGGGTAAGCCACACAGTTGTTTCCTTCAGATCCTTTCTTGACCACAAAATAAAAAAGTAAAGTGTGTGTCTGTGTGTCTATTTGTGTGTTTATACATGTGCATAAGTATGCATGCTGTCTCTACACCCAACGTGAGGCTCGAGCTCACGACCCTGAGATCAAGAGTCACATGCTCCACCAACTGAGCCAGCCAGGTATCCCAAAACTAAGGCATTTTTTTTAAAATGCTATGTAATACTTTAAAAACCAACTTCTAGGGGCCCCTGGGTGGCTTAGTCGTTAAGCATCTGCCTTTGGCTCAGGTCATGATCCCAGGGTCCCGAGATCGAGTCCCGCATCGGGCTCCCTGCTCAGCGGGGAGTCTGCTTCTCCCTTTGCCCCTCCCCCCTGCCCATGGTCTCTCGAGCTCACTCACTCTCTCAAATAAATAAGTAAAAATTTAAAAAAACAAACAAACAGCAATTGCACTCCTGGGTATTTACCCCAAAAACACAGATGTAGTGAAAAGAAGGGCCATATGCACCCCAGTGTTCATAGCAGCAATGTCCGCAATAGCCAAACTGTGGAAGGAGCTGAGATGCTCTTCAACAGACGAATGGATAAAGAAGATGTGGTCCATATATACACTGGAATATTCCTCAGCCATCCGAAAGGATGAATACCCAACTTTTACATCAACATGGATGGGACTGGAGGAGATTATGCTAAGTGAAATAAGTCAAGCAGAGAAAGTCAATTAGTATATGCTTTCACTTATGTGTGGAACATAGGATAGAATAGCATGGAGGATGTTAGGAGAAGGAAGGGAAAAATGAAGGGGGGGGAATCGGAGGGAGAGATGAACTATGAGAGACTATGGACTCTGAGAAACAAACCGAGGGTTTTAGAGGGGAGGGGGGTGGGGGGATGGGTTAGCCCGGTGATGGGTATTAAGGAGGGCACGTACTGCATGGAGCACTGGGTGTTATATGAAAACAATGAATTGTGGATCACCACATCAAAAACTAATGATCATTGGTGATTAACATAACATAATAAAATTTAAAAAAAAAGGAAAACAAAAACCAACTTCTATAAAATGTCTCAGAGGTAAAATGAGTAAAAACTATTGTATATTATTTTATTATTTAAAAAGATTGGGCGCCTGGGTGGCTCAGTTGGTTGGGCGACTGCCTTCGGCTCAGGTCATGATCCTGGAGTCCCGGGATCGAGTCCTGCATCGGGCTCCCTGCTCGGCGGGGAGTCTGCTTCTCCCTCTCTCTCTGCCCCTCCTGCCCACTCATGCTTGTTCTCTCTCTCAAATAAATAAAAATCTTTATTAAAAAAAAGAAAAGGGCACCTGGTGGCTCAGTCGGTTGGGCGACTGCCTTCGGCTCAGGTCATGATCCTGGAGTCCCGGGATCGAGCCCCGCATCAGGCTCCCTGCTCAGCAGGAAGTCTGCTTCTCCCTCTGACCCTCCCCCCTCTCATGCTCTACCTCATTCTCTCTCTCAAATAAATAAATAAAATCTTTAAAAAAATAAAAAATAAAAATAAAAAGATTTATTTATTGGGGTGCCTGGGTGGCTCAGTCATTAAGCGTCTGCCTTCGGCTCAGTTCATGATCTCAGGGTCCTGGGATCGAGCCCCACATCGGGCTCCCTGCTCAGTGGGAAGCCTGCTTCTCCCTCTCCCACTCCCCCTGCTTGTGTTCCCTCTCTCGCTGTGTCTCTCTCTGTCAATTAAATAGATAAATAAAATCTTTAAAAAAAAAAGATTTATTTATTTAAGAGAGAAAGAGAGTGCACACATGAAGGTGGGCACACCGGGGGAGGGGAAGACAGAGAGAGAGAATCTCAAGCAGACTCTGTGCTGAGCGTGGAATCTGAGGCAGGGCTCAATCTCACGACCCTGAGATCATGACCTGAGCAGAAATCAAGAGTCAGACATCTAACCGACTAAGCCACCCAGGTGCCCCAATAACATGTTACTTCATTCACGAAATTTTCAAGTATAAATGCATTACCCCAACCGGATTATGGAGCCCTGCCCCTCAGACCCACCCCTCGGTGCCCTAAGGGTGACCCCACTACCCACTGGCCTTTCTCTGATCATCCCAAACTGTCCCCTTCACTTGGGGCACAACCCACCGGGTCCAGTCTCTACGCAGCACCTTTCCTCCCGGTCCTCTGCTTTGTGTCCTTCACGTTCTCTTCAGGGTAGGCACACGTCTTACTCATCCTTGTACCACCCACGTAAAAGAGGCCTTGGCTGGCACGGACTCTTTCCATAACCATCACCAACGCAGACACCAGGGTTGCCACAGCCACCGGCCAAGAGTCCCTGCCTCCCCCACACAGACCTGGGCACCGGGGCCCCACGGACTCATATGCACGCCCTGCCTTGCTTGAGGCCAGGCCAAAGCCAGCACTTCCGAAACACGTCTCCCTGAGGAATCCCACACGTCGGTGGAACACCGTCAGCGCAGGAGATCCCAAGTCAGCCGCACATGGGGCTGCCTGCCGCCTGGCCCCACGGCGGCGCTCGTCCCCACGTCCTGTGCCGTCTCTCCTGCCAGAGACCGCTGTGCTCACAAGCGCAGCGTGCGCAGAGATGCCACCGTCAACCAGGGGCAAGGGCTGAAGGCGCACACGCCGGCGCGTCCTCCCCGTCCACGGCGCCCATGGGGGACGGTGCTACCACCCTAAGCACGGAGCACGCGCTGGGAAGCACACTCAGAGGCCGAAGGGTCTGGACGTGGGGACAAACACCCGCAAAGACACGAACCGAACTGTCCTATGTTACAAATCTCGGAAAAATCAGGGTTGAAAGAACGAAATAAGTGACTCGTAACCAGAGTCCCTCATCCCAGCGCCTGAGGAGGAGGTTCACGTGGTTCACTCTGCAGAGATGAAACCCAAGGCCCATCTTTCACGGTCACACCCGGAGGAGAAGTCGCAGCCGCAGCCGCACCCCCTCACCCCACCGCGGCCGCAGGACGTCCACGCAGTCACGGCTCAGCCCGCTCCGGCCATCAGGGGAACACAGTTCACTGTAACGTTGAAACAAACTTGCATTCCACCATCCAACCACAAGGCCTCTCATTCTTTTAACTGAGAGGGTTTTCTCCCCACAAGTAACCTACGGATGTTTAACGTGGTTGCTGTAACATCTCAATTGCCAACTGAGTAGTAAGTAGAGAGATGACCTCATGTGTGCAAAACACCCCGAATCCCACAGAAAAGAGATCAAGTCAAGCCCGCCAAGGCCCTGGTGAGCACACGCACGTCTGAGTGGGGGCCCAGCGGCCTGCCTGCAGGCCCGCCTACCGTGCAAATGCAGCCTGGAAGCACACTCACCTCTCCCTCCTGCACGGGGAGGCCTTGGGCCCGCGGTCCCTGGCGTGGCTGGAGGACGCGTCCCGGGCTGGCGGGGAGGTGCTGGTTTTGGGTGCAGGCTGCTGCCGTGGTGCCCGGAATCCTTCCCCCGCAACCGCTGAACAACAGAGGGATGAGGAAGAGAGACATGGATGCCTTTGGTAGAAAGGCCCCTCCACCAAAACGTAAAATTTACAAACCTTTAGGAGTCTGCGTGGCAATTTCAAAGCATTTTTAAAATACCCGGTTTATATGTCGCTTCTTGGCCTTTTGGCTAAGATCAAGTGTAAAATACCCGGTTTATAAAAATTATGTTTTAAAAAGCTCTAGAAGAAACCTGAGTTTTGATCACCTGTATTCTGCCCCTGCAGGGCTGACCTGACCCCCGCATCCAGGGGAGCACCCCGTGACCTTGGGGAGCCAGCAGGGTGCTCCCCCACCCCAGGATTTGAGGAGGGGGCTCTGGAGGAGGGAGAAGCAGAACCCTGAGACCACCAGGTGTGCCTGGTGGGGGAACAACCCTCCTAAAGGCCTGGAGGCCGAAGTAACCACACGTGGGAACCAAAGCTAATTGGTGGCCGGGGCTGCCCAGCTGCCGAGGGCTGGCTGCCTCCCCTCCAGACGCCTGAAGCCCCGCAGGACTGGGGGCCGCGCCCCTGCGAGTGGAGAGTTCTCTGCGCACATTTACACGTGCGGCAGGGCCCCACGAAGGCCGCTCTTGGGCGGAGCGCCGGTAGTGGAGCTCCCAAAAGAGAGATGCAGCCGTGAAGCGGACCTTTTATTAAGTGAGTTACTCGTCTATATCTCTGGCATTTCTACGTTGTTTCAACCATTAACCGGTCTTCTCTGCGCTTCCCAACATCGAAGCCACCTTCCCTCAGAAGCCACCTGGCCTCGCCGACGGCCCCACTAGCTGAGTGTAAGGTTTCCGGTGTGCTTTACGGGGCTCCCACTGGGCCCACCTGGACGGGGCGCTCGGCCTGCCACCATGGCTCCTTTCCGATTTACCTCTTGCCACTTCTTAACCAAGAAACGTAATCTACAAAGAAAACAAAGGACACAAAACATTGGAAACTAGAGCAAAACAGTTGTGAAAAGAGTGGTGAAGATCCAGACGTGACCGACACCCGGGGTCAGACTCGGGTTGGCCCCCGTCTGCAGTGACCGTGGCGCCCCTGCCAACCAGCACCTTCCTGGCCACGGCGCTGCCCTGGTGCCCACCAACCCAGGGCCCCGGAGACCCCGGTTCAAAGTCTGCAACACCCGCTCCCTACCGCCGCTGGGGCCACTCGACGGCTCCGGGCAAAGGGAGCAAGATAGCGGCCCTGCCCCCAGGTGTCCTTGGTCACACAGGGAGCAGGGGTGTCAGGGTGAGGAGCGCCAGGGGCCAGTGCCCAAAGGTGCTGCACTGCAGGGCTCCCTGGCTCCTCCTGGGACGGCGCCTCCGTGGCCTGGCGGACGCCCTTCAGAGACGGCCTTCCTGTCAGCAGCTCCTTCGAGGTACCGCTGACCGCGCACCCTCCTGGAAGGCACGTTCTGACTCGCATCCAAACCGCAGCTGCTGAAACTGCTCCGCCCCTTGACAGGAAGGCTGAAGGCAGGGCCTGGGCCGGGTCCCCTGCCCCACATCACATCTGCCAGGTTTCCTGGCACAGGGCACTCTCTCCAAACATGCAGACTGGACGGATGGATGGACAGACAGGTGGTGGGTGGGTGGTCTGCGGTCAGAACTCAGAGGCGAGGGGACGACGTGCCCTGAGGCTGAGGGCCGAGAGCAGGAGAGCGAGGAGGCCAGGCAGCCTCCCACCTCTGCTGGACCGGACTGGCCGGTGCTGGGTCTCTGCGGGGCAGGGCTGGGAGGAGTGAGGGAGACAGCCGGCGGGTGGGGTGTGAGGAAGGCATCTCGCGGGCATCACACGGCAGACAGAGCTAACAATTCTTAGTGGGACAAACATTTGTGGAGATTCAGCAAATCTTAAAATTATAACGTAAAACGGATTTTCAGCACTGTTAATTCTGAACAGGTCGAAATTTCAGGGACTCACATTCCTGCCCCCAAACGACACCCCGTGTCAACAACGCCTAGGACACTGAGCGGTGCCTGGGGCCAGCGGGACCTCCACGCCCTGCCCTCCTCCAGGGAGAGGGCTCGTGGCCAGGATGAGAGCAGCACATGCGGCCACCACCCCACGCGGGTGACGTGGCCCCTTTCATGGAGCGCACATTTCACTAAAATACAGGCAACTGGAGTGTGAAGCCGTGAAATGCAGTTTCAAACTCCGTCAGACGTGCCTGTCGTCAGAAGGAATCCTGGCACGAGGCCCGTAAGGGGCAAGGTACTGTCTTGCGATGAGCAGGCATCCCTCAACCTTAGTTTCAGAAGCTGGGTGACAGTTCTGCGCAACGTGGTCTCTCGGAGGCAAGCGTAGCTCAAAAGGGAGCGCCATCGTAGAGGGAGACAGCCCCGAATACCCAGCACGCCTCCCTCTCACGAAGATTCGGCGGCGGGGGCCTCAGCATACCTTAATATCGCGATCACCACCCTGACGGCAGTCCGAAACTTCGTAAAAGGGCGAGATGTGGTGATTTTCTTATCTGCTTTGGAAGGAAATACTCCCAAATGGGCGATCATGGAGAGCGTTTCTTGTTCAGAGTCCTGGAATCCACCAATCAATAGTAAAAGATACTTCTTTTGATAAATCAGAGCTTTTCTGAAGCTTTCTGCTCTCAAATAATGCAGGTACAATTTCTCCATCTGAAAGAAAAAAAAAAGTTAAACAATCCTGGAACAAAGACATCTTGCTGACAGATGCATAGCACGTTCGTACCACTGGGCTTTAAGAAGAACCGGACAGGGGCGCCTGCGACTCTGGATCTCAGGGTCCCGAGTTCAAGCCCCACATGGGCTGTAGAGAGGACTTAAATAAATAAATAAACACATCTTTAAAAAAATTAAACTAAAAAGATGCAGGCCGTTTCTCCCTTCAGCAAACTGTTTACAGCAGTAAGCCCTGCGTGACCTCTGTCACCAGGGACAGCCTCGCTGGGCAGACTTGGACAAAAGGCAGACCAGACATGCTTTCCAAGCCTCAGAGGAACCCTCAAAGGCCCCGTGAATCTGACCACTAGGTGAGGGGCACACCCGGGGCGGGACAGGGTCTCATCCCCAGGCCCATACACAGAGGCGTCTCCTTATGTCCTGATATTCTAACACGCGTTTTCCCGCGCCCCAGGGGCCAACACAATGATCAGCAAATCCCCGGTCTGGGGTGCTTTCAGGCTGTGGAGACGGTTACCTACTATGAGGTACCTCCAAGCCTGACACCCTTAACTTGTGAGCACAGACACAAGACACCTGTACGGAACGACAGTGGGTTTCAGATGGAAGTGTATTCACTTCACTGCTCTAATCTGAGACGGCTCGACGTCTCCCCACTGCTGAGAGACACACGCGGATACACGTGCTGGCAACTATGCTCAGGAGAAGGAGAACCCCACCAGCACGAGAATGCTTTCGCAGCTGCAATGAACAGACCAGGATTCTTAGAAGTACCGACTGTTACACCTTTGTCAGCCTCACGGAACGCACACCACCGAGCGTGAGCCCTGACGTAGCCTGTGGACTCTGGGTGGTGACCACCTGTCAGTGCAGGCTCACTCAGGTGCGGGCTGTCAGCACTGGGGGAACAAGGAATATTTGGGAACTCTCCGTACCTTCCCCTCAGTTCTGCTGTGAACCTTAAGCTGCTCTAGAAATATAAAGTGCTTGTTTTTTTGTTTTTGTTTTTTTAAGAAAGTGTGAGCGAGCGTGCAGGGGGAGAGGCAGAGGGAGAGAATCCCGAGCAGACTCCCTGCTGAGCACAGAGCCTAACATGGGGCTCAACCCCAGGACCCTGAGGTCATGACCTGAGCCGAGATCAAGAGGCAACCGGGCACCCCTGGAAATATAAAGTCTTGAGAACAGATAAAGGGCACTCAGTGGATGACACTGTACATGCCCAGCGCGGCCCCCAGGCCTGCGCTTACGTGCACGCCGCAGGCGTTTCCCTCCTCCCGTGCGGCCAGCGCGGGCACTGCTGGGTCTGGCTGTCCTGCTGAGCTCTGCGAGACTGCCCCGTCTTGCTTCCACGCAGACTTGTCCGGTCTCTGTAACAAACCACAGACGACACCGTCTACACAGTTGCTCCAATAGAAGAACATCTTGAGAAAAACGGCCGAGGGCGGAGTCGCCACCCCCACCCCAGGGTCAGGGTCACGTTCACACAGCTCGTTTCTTCCTCGGCTGCTCCCCCAGGACGTGGGAGGGGGCTGGGGCACGTCTCCCGAATGCCACAACATGGGCCATCCTGGGTCCGTCTTCGGCATCTTTTCAGATGCCCCAGCTGTTACGTGGTGTTATCAATCAGATAATTAATATTCACGGGTGGTTACTGCATACCAATTACTGAAGTATGACTGCACAAAAGGTACGTTTTTATCAAAAACAAACCCCAAATATTTGTGAAAGAACACCGAATTCAAAGCATTAAGCCTGCTGAACACCCGCACAGTCTCTGGTCCTAGAAAGGCTAACTCCTGACAGGTCTGAGTCCCTGGTTCTACGGCAGCACCAACAAATCACACGCCTGGAAACCTCAGCAAGGGCCCCACGTGGGCGCCGCGGACACTGAGGAGCTGTCATGACCAGGCAGCACATCCAAACATATGTGGCGTGGCCTGGATACCACGGTGTGTGGAGAGCGCCCAGAGCTCCAGTGGGGACCCATTTACAGAGGAGAAGGATCCCACAGTGAGGACAGCAAAGGGGCTGCTCATACCGGATGACCAGAGGGAGCTCCAAGTACTTTGGCCACGTGCACGGTGACCTCGTTCCTGCAGTCTGGAACAGGAATCAAAAGCAGCCTGGCTGCACCAGCCCCCAGCTCCAGGGCACAGCAGAGAGGAGGGGCCTGCGACTGAGGTGACCCTGTCGAAGGGCTCTCACAGGACCCCTGGTGAGGAAGGGGGAAAAGACTAGATGTTTGTTTTCCTGGTCCTAAAACACAGCCTGGTCATTTGTGGAAAGAGGTTCTCTAGGAATCAAAGTCTCCTTGGTTTCACCATGTTCTACCAGCTCACTCCCAGCCTGTGATTTACTCATTAAAAATATTTATTTTTCAGGGGCACCTGGGGGGCTCAGTCAGTGAAGCGTCTGCCTTCAACTCAGGTCGTGATCTCATCAGGGTCCTGGGACTGAGTCCCACACTGGGCGCCCTGCTCAGTGTGGAGTCTGCTTCTCCCTCTGCTTCTGCCCTTCCCCCCATTCGTGCTCGCTCTCTCAAATAAATAAAATCTTTAAAAATAAATAAATACTTATTTTCTATAATGAAAGCAGAAATTAACAAGTGGGACTACATCAAACTAAAAAACTTTTATACAGTAAACCATCAACAAATAATACATTCAACAGAGAGTGAACATCCAAAATACATTTAAAAACTCATACATAGCTCAATATAAAAAAACAATCCAATGAGCAGAAAACCTGGACATTTTTCCAAAAAATACATAGAAATGGCCAAAAGACATCTGAAAAAATGCTCAACATCGCTCGGCATCAGGGAAATTCAAATCAAAACCTCAATGAGATCCCACCTCACACCAGTCAGAATGGCTAAAATTAACAAGTCAGGAAAGACAGATGTTGACAAAGATGCGGAGAAAGGGGAACCCTCCTACACTGTTGGTGGGAATGCAAGCTGGTGCAGCCACTCTGGAAAACAGGATGGAGGTTCCTCAAAAAGTTGAAAGTAGCGCTACCATACGACCCAGCAATTGCACTCCTGGGTATTTACCCCAAAGAAAATTGAAATACAGATTCAAAGGGATACAAGCACCCTGATGTTTACTGCAGCATTATGTACAGTAGCCAAACTGTGGGAAGAGCCCAGATGTCCGATGACAGATGAATGGATAAAGAAGATGTGGTCCATATGTACAATGGAATACTACTCAGTCATTAAAGAATGAAATCTTGCCATTTCTGACAACATGGATGGACCTCGAGGGTATTACACTAAGTGAAAGAAGTCAGACAGAAACAGACCGATACCATGTCATCGCCCTTATATGCGGAATCTAAAAAACCAAACCAAACAAACGAACAAAACAGACTCACAGAACAAACTGGCTGGTGGTTGGGGGGGGGCTGGGGGGCAGACAAAATAGACCAAGGGGATGAAGAGGTGCCAACACCCAGTCATTAGGACGCCGCCGCAGAGGGGGCAGTCAGGAAACCGTGACAACTCTGTGCGGTGACACATGGGAACTAGGCCCACGGTGGCCACGGTTTCGGGACGGATGCAAGTGTTGAATCACCATGTTGTACACTGGAAACTAGTACAGTATTTGTGTCAGTTAGTCTTCAATAAAATAATCTATTCCCTGATTTCCTCGTTAACTTCCACAGAAAGGATGAAAGTGTTGTAATGGTGGCGGGGCTTTAATCACAGGCACAATAAGACGCCTTCAGCAAGGGGCCCCGAACGCTTCCGACAAGTCCCAGAGAAGCAGACAGGACTGTGAACGGTGCTAACGGCAGCTTTCGTCAAGATTAAAACGTGGAGCCATTGTAACTTCTTACATCAAAGAATGCAAGTCCTGGGTCGGCTTGGTGGTTGGACCCCACTTTCCAAGTACAGAGGTCCCTTTACCTTACCTACCAACAGAGCTTCAAAACAGACAAAGCAAAGCTGGACGGAGCGTGAAGACAAATTCACTGTTCTACTTAGAGATGTCAACATCCCCCCTCACAGTGACCGAGGACAAGGAGGAAGCAGCTCAAGGCTACAGGAGATCTGAACGACCTTCGTGGGACCCTCCACCAACACCAGGAACACCAAGTCCATCACTAAAAACCTTTCCCAAAAGACCCAGGTGGTTTCACTGGTGAATTTTAATAAATATTTAAGGAAGAAATAAATACTAGCTCTAGGAAACCTCTTCCAGAAATTAAGAAGAGGAAGGAACACGTCCCAACTCATTTTATGAGGCCAAAACTAGACAATACAAAAAACCCCTCCAGATTAACATCCTTCATGAACCCAGAGGCAAAAATGCTCAACAAAATACGGGCAAATTGAATCCAACAATACGTAAAAATGGTAAGACATCATGACTGCCCGGGGCTTTCCCTGGCACACAACACAGAGTCCACAACCAAAAATCAACCTAATACACCATGTTAGCTGAGTAAACAAGAAAAAGCGCATCACCTTATCAACAGGTGAAGAAAAATCATAACAAACTCAAACATCCATTCATGATACAAAGTCTTCGCAAACTAAGACTGGGAAGGGAACCTCAGCCCCAGGGCCTTCGCACGAGCACCTGACAGACGGAAGCTCCGGCTCAGCCCTCGGACTGGGAACCCGGCCTGCCCAACCACGTCCAGGAAGTCCAGCCTGTGCAAGAGGCAAGAAACGGAAATCAAAGGTATTCATATTGGAAAGAAAAGAAAACCCTATTCACAGATGATATAACTGTGTCTGTACAAAATCCCAAAGAAGGACTCATCGGGTTAAAAAGCAAGGTTAGCAAGGGTCACAGCACAAGGTGAACCTGTGAACATGGACCGTGTTTCTACACACGAGCCACGAACAACTGGAGAACAAAAGGTTTGAAAAGTGCCTTTTACAACAGCTCCCTGAAAAACGAAATGTTTAGGTATCAACCTAACATGTTTTTAGGATCTGAACGCTGATAGTTACAACACATTTAAAGAGACAGAAACACATGAAAGGACATGAGTTCCCAGATGGGAAGGTTCGATGAAGCTAAATTCAAACATAGTTACAGTTACGTGGCCAAGATGTCAATCCTTGCCTAAAACCTTTATGATAGCTTCACTGAAATGTAACTCACATACCATAAAATTTATCCTCTGAAAATGTACAATTCAACAGGTTTAGAATATATTCACAGAATGCAACGACCACCACTCCGTAATTCGTGTTTTCGTCACCCCCAAACCCCCCCCGCCCCGTCCCTCCCCACCACACCCCCAGCCCCAGGCAACCACTAATTTGTTTTCTGCCTCAATGGTTCTGCGGCTCTGGACACCCCATGTAAATAGGGCCCTACAAGGAGGGGACAGAGGCTCATCCACACTGCAGCACTTGGCAGTCTTTTAGTCCTTTACTGCCAAATAAGCCCATTTATGGATATACCATATTTTATTTACCCGTTCATTAATTAATTGACATTTGGGTTATTTCCACTTTCAGGCTACAATGAGTATCGGTGGCAGGAAAGTTTTATGTGGAACTGTTGGTAAGAACGGCCAGACCAGGGGCGCCTGGGTGGCTCAGTTGGTTAAGCGACTGCCTTCGGCTCAGGTCATGATCCTGGAGTCCCGGGATCGAGTCCCGCATCGGGCTCCCTGCTCAGCGGGGAGTCTGCTTCTCCCTCTCCCGCTCCCCGCTCTTGTGCTCTGTCTCTAAAAATAAAATAAATAAAATCTTAAAAAAAAAAAAAAAAAAAAAGAACGGCCAGACCATTTTCCAAACCAGTCGGACGCTGTACCTCCCGGTTCCTCCCACATCCCAACCAACCAACCAGCAAGATTCTAAAATTTATGTTCAAAGACAGAGGAACTAGAATAGCCAGATAATTTGAAGGCAGAAAAAAACCGGAGCATCCCCACTCCTGATACAAAGCTGTGATCTCCCCCATGCTGCCTGGTCAGCAGAACAGAAGGGAGAATCCAGACATACACGCACGTTGTGGAGTGACTTCTGACATCGGTACAAAGACGATCCTCCAACACGTGCCGGAACAACGGTATCAACGTGCATACAGATAATCCTCGACCTAACCCTCAGACCGAAAAAAAAATTACCTCAAAATGGATCCCAGACCTAAATGTAGAAAGTAAAACTACAAAAAAACTATTAAAATGAGAAAATCTTGTTGTGCAAAGGCCACCATCTCCACAGAGCGGGCTCTGCACAGACGGGGAAGAGAGATTTTCACATCATGGGTCTGACCGCCCAGTCGCAGAACACAACAGTACCAGAAAACAGACGGTGCAATTCAAAAGCGGGCAAGGGCTTTAAAGGACACTTCACCGAAGAAGATACAGATGCCACTCAGCACCTGGCACCACGCTAGCGGAAAAGGCAGGGCCGGCACCCAGCGAGCCGACGCAGCGACAGGACTCCCACGTTTTGCTGAAGGGGAAGTAAACTGGTGCAGCCGTTCGACACTCGGCGGGCTCGACATTCACGTCATGGGACCCCCCTCCCCGCCCAGGGATTCACCCCAGAGTAGCTGCTTAGGAACGCTGTCGTCGTCAAACACCAGAGACAACCCAGAGACGCTGCTGAGGCATGTCCGCGCCCGGGACGCTGCTTGGCAACACGACGCCCAGGAAGGATCTCAGGTCCTCCGACAGGTGACACACCGTGGGCTTCGGCCACGCACCCGGGAACGGCACGCTGCACAAAGCGCCAGGCCGGGCCTGCCGTCAGCCGGGCCACAGCGAGCACGGCGGCTGTGGGCTGTTAACGCTGGCGGTCACGTGGGTCACGAGAGTCCGCCCACGCGTGAAACCTCAAATGACATCCTACCAACAAAGGGCAGATTTCACTGCACGTAAATTAAAAAATAATTTAGAAAACTTTTCATTGTAAAAAAGGTAAAGCAAGGGGCGCCTGGGTGGCTCAGTTGGTTGAGCGACTGCCTTTGGCTCAGGTCATGATCCTGGAGTCCCGGGATCGAGTCCCACATCGGGCTCCCGGCTCAGCAGGGAGCCTGCTTCTCCCTCTGACCCTCATGATCTCTCTACCTCATTCTCTCTCTCAAATAAATAAATAAAATCTTTAAAAAAAGAAAAAGGTAAAGCAAATCACAAACGCAACCATCTCAATTTTATATAAGAGAAAAGAAACTGGGCATTCCAGAAAAAAAGCCTATCAACTATGCAGTCAGGAAAACTACGTCATTTTAATCGGGTCCAAACCGAGCAAAGAGATTTCCCGTCCCAAGCAGGCACGGAACGTGACCTCACGGCAAGGTCACATGTGTCATGCATGTGCTGGCGTGTGGGACCCGCGCAGACACGTGGCTGGAGGGCTAAGCCGCTGTGGCGTGCCCGGGAGCTCAGCCCACAGCCCAGCGGGAGCCCCGCCCGCGCCCGCGGCCGCACAGAAGCGCGTACGTACAGTCCACACACCGCGCTTCAGCAGCTGCTGCTTCAGGGACGCCTCCAGCTGCGACACTGCCCGGCGCAGGTCCGCCTTCTCCTGCGTCACCGTGCGCAGGGCTCTCGTCAGGGAGTCGTTGTCTTTCAGGAGGACGTCCACCAGCTGGGTCTGCAGCTCTGCTGTCATCTTTTTCTTGACAAGGAGAAAGCAGAAATAAATGTACACAAATTTGTTTGTTAAAACGCATACACATGCGGGGCCCGGGTGGCTCGGTCGGTGGTGCGTCTGCCTTCGGCTCAGGTCGTGATCCCGGGGTCCTGGGATCGAGCCCCGCATCGGGGTCCCTGCTCAGGGGGGCGTCTGCTGCTTCCCCTGCTCTCTCTCTCTGACAAATAAATAAAATCTTTGTTAAAAAAAAGATACACCTGGGCGCCTGGGTGGCTCAGTTGGTTAAGCGACTGCCTTCGGCTCAGGTCATGATCCCAGAGTCCCGGGATCGAGTCCCGCATCGGGCTCCCTGCTCGTCGGGGAGCCTGCTTCTCCCTCTGACCCTCTCCCCTCTCATGCTGTTTCTCTCCTGCTCACTCTCTAATAAATAAATAAATAAATAAATAATCTTTACAAAAAAAAAAAAAGATACACCTGTTATTTGTGTTTTTTACTGTTGGCTGCTTTCAAGAATTATAAATTTTACACTCATTTGGAGTTCAGTGGGAGCTCGTGGGGCTGGGAAGAGCTGTAAATGGGAAGTCATCAACTCCCGTTTCCATCCCCCCCTCCCCGCGAGCGAGACCCCGCCCAGCGCTGGCAGCACGAGCGAAGCCCCGCTCGGACGGCTCACAGCTCGGTGAGCGGCGCTCGCAGGGAGCAGGGGCACCGTGTGCTCGTCCCCAAGGGCCCGGCACACAAGTCCCTTAGACGGTCCATCATCTCCACAATCGGGAGCTCAGCCTACAGCTGGCCCGGGACACCGACGGAGGCCCGGCCTGCCCACAGCACGCCCCACCCAGACCGTCTCGCTCCTGCGGCACGCGGTGCCCTCTCCTGCTTGGACACGCGGGCTGCTCTCACACCAAACGGCGAGACTGCGCAACCACCAAGAACAGCTCCCAGGACCTGTGTCGACAACCAGGACTTCTAAACAAACACCTTCGGGCGTGGCCGACAGGGAGCTCAGAATTTGCCAGGAGGCCCGCGGGAGCTCACTTCTGGCTCAGGCTCTCAACCAGGTGCACACAGAGCAGGCTGGGTCAGCAGCAGGCCCCCCTCCCCCCCAACCGGGGCACCTGCCCTGAGCACCACGGCCCAGTGCCCACTGGAGGGCGCGCCGGGCGCTCGGCAAGGTCATGCCCAGGGCGGGCTGTCAGACAGGGGAGTGGCAGGGAGGGGTAAACAAGGAACCACGCGGGGGGCCCCACCCCTCACCTGGGAGGAGCTGGGCGCGCTCAGGTCAGACTTGAGCTCCTCTAACGTGCGCAGCAAGGAGCTCACTGCTTTCTCATTCGATGATGTCCAATCACTAATTGTCCTGTGAACATAAACAGATACTGAAAAGCTCGTGCAGATCCCCACGGACAGCTACCCACGGCCACTGGGAACTCTGTGGGAGAAACGACAAATGGGGTCCAACGCAGCCCCCAGGAGGATGTGCTTATGACTGCTTCCTCCAGCCATGCTCTGCCCACGAGAGGCGGGGGCCCGGAGCCACTCCACTGACAGCAGGGGCCAGGACGTGACGCGGCCCTCGCGCCGACAGTCCGCGAGGCCCCGAGACGTCGGCCGCTGGCCACAGACTCCGGAGGCTCCGAGCGCTGCTCTCCACTGGGGTCTGTGTCTGGTGTGAAGCACTGTCCGGAAGGAAGGTCCGCTCAGAGACACCGCTGCCCCACGGACTGAACCAGTTACAGACGGGAGAACCGTACTTGCAGAGTGTCGTGCAGATGGGGAAAGGGCGAGTATTAGTTTTCCTGTTCACAGAAACCCTCCTGTCGGTCCCTCAGCCACGGAGGTGCACCCTGGCTGTGTGAGCAGCGGTCCTGGGGGCCGCGGGCAAGGCGGACACCGTGTGGACGTGTCGCGCCACCCAGCCTTGACGGGCCCAGGCAGGACGGGCCTGGCATCTGGCTCAGAACTCTGGGTGGTGAGCAATTGTAAAGGGGCACGAGGAGAACAGATCTAAAAGAAACTTGGACTTTTCCCTCCTACTTAGAATGCAAAAAAATACAATTCTGTCAACATCTTTCAGGAGAGTGCTGCCCAGAAATTCACCCAGCACGTGGGAAGAGACCGTCTGCTGCACTACAACGGGGGCCTGAAATCAAGCCACGCCCCAAAGGTGCACGTGTTCCCCAACACACGGGCTCCGATGGCAGGGGGAGCAGCCAGCCCCGAGGGGCTCACCTGTCCACCATCTGGCTGACGAAGCTGGTCAGGAGCCCGGCTGCACACAGCAGCTGCTGCCGGACCTTCTCCAGGCTGTGCCGTTCCTCCTGCAGCCGCTCGGCCTCTGGGGACTGGCGAGCGGCCGCCTTCGCCTCCAGGGCCTGGACCGTCCGCTGAAGCTGCCGGATCTTGTGCTCATCTCGCTGATGCTGCAACTCCAACTCCCGCTGTTGTCAACGGCAAAACAACAGAAAGTCCTTCACACGCCTGTTCCAAAAGCAGAAGCCTGAAGCCCAGCCGCCGCTACGGGCGGCCCCGGCCGGCACGGGGTCCTGGGCGGGGGCTGCACCGCACACCAGCACCCTCCACCGGGCGCAGAGACCCAGGCAGAACCAAGCTCTGGTGGCGCCAGAGGTGAAGGCCTATCGTCCGTCTCTGAGCACGATCAGGCTTTTACCCGCCTGCGCAGGGGAGGCTGGACACTGAAACGGGAGTGTTCACAGGCCCAAGTTCCGGCTTCCGGCCTCGGCACGCAGGCACACACACGCCAAGGCACACCAACATGCGGACACGGACAAGCACAGAGGAACGTGCACGTGCACCAGGTGGAAATGGCCTCATTTGCAAAACGCCCTTCACCACGTGTGCCGGGCGTGTGCTGGGCTCCTGGGAGAAATCGCAGAAACGGCCACCGGGTCCCTGCGCCCCCACCAGGGAGACAGAGTGGATGACCCGGCGGAAACCTCTCTGGGCAGCCACTTAGAGCCGCTTCCACGGGTGAGGAGGCCTCAGGAAGGGCAGGAAGGGCAGGAAGAGGCACCGTGTCCGGGAGAACCTGGGACACCCGGAACCCAGCCTGGGTCTCTCGCCGCGCGGTCCCACACAGCACATCATCTCGATCAACGCTCCAGCCTCGTGAGGACGCAGGGATTGTTACTTAGCTATTTTCCAGGTTAGGAAAGCGAGATACCGAGGGACCTACAGGTTTATTTTGTGTAGAGAAGATGAAATTGACCCTGAAACAACTATCTTGGGAGGCCACTGTGCTCAGAAAGAGAGTCCATAATCCAAAACAAATTAACCGTCTACAGTGACCGTAACACCAAAGGGGCTGCATCAATTACTTAAAACTCCATTCCAAGATGCATCGTGAAGAACAACTATTAAAACTTGGAACATTTTCTTTGCATTTTTTAAGCAATCACATTACCACTTGTTTTTTTAAAAAAACCAAAGTTAAAGGGTTCGGCTGAAAACTTTGGAGATGGTTTGCGGAAGTCCTCAAGAAGCACATGAAGGCTGCAGACACTCTTCCCCGGGAGAAAAGGCAAACACACACACACACACACACACACACACACACGTACAAAAGCCTGCACACGTTCGGGGGTTCCGCATCAGCAAGGCGCACCCTGGGGCCTGACTCTACTCGCCTCCTTCACAAAACAGCACAGGTGCCTCCGGGCCATGCACCACCCGCTCCCTGCAACACCTCCAAACTACTCCACAGCACAACACACACAGGCCTTGAAAACACCAGGAAAGGAGCCAGACAGGAGAGGCCACGCACCGCCGGATCCCTTCAGAGGAAATGTCCGCAACAGACCAATCCACAGACAGAAGGGAGACTCGTGGTGGCCAGGGCTGAGCACTAACGGTGTGGGCTCCGTGTGGGGCGAGGAACATGTTGTAACGTGGGTGTGGCGATGGGCACACGACCCTGAAGGTACTGAAAACCACTGACGTGTGCAACTTAAGTTGGTGAACGCAAGTACGTGACTATCTCAGCAAAGCTGTTCAAACCCACTGAACACACCCCTGACATGAACTTCCAAAACTAAGTAATTTCATAGCATTTTGGGAGCCGACTTATCTTTGTAACACTTAGAAATCTAGAGTTTTATCTAAAACTAATGATGTAATGTATGGGAATTAACATAAGAATTAAAAAAAAAAAGAAATCTAGAGTTTTGTTTTTAGAAACACATACTCATTTCTCAAATATTTCATGGCAGGCTAACCACTGAAAAGTCCACGCTACTGGTTTTCCTCGTGTGTTTTTAAAAACTTACTTGGATTTTCACAAATTTTTAAAAATTGTGTTTAAAAATATATATATATTTTTAAGATTTTATTTATTTATTTGAGAGAGAGAGAATGAGAGAGAGAGAGTACATGAGAGGGAGGAGGGTCAGAGGGAGAAGCAGACTCCCCGCCGAGCAGGGAGCCCGATGCGGGACTCGATCCCGGGACTCCAGGATCACGACCTGAGCCAAAGGCAGTCGCTCAACCAACTGAGCCACCCAGGCGCCCCTAAAAATATTTTTTAAAAAAATAATTAAAAAACATTTTAAAGAAGGCAACACAAATGTCAATCCATATGAAGACACAGAATTTAATTTTCCCAGAAACAAAGGCTTCTGATTGACATAAAATGTATCTGAAAGTAACATTTTATCCAAAAAAAATAGAAGAGGAACACTTCCTAACCTGTGAGGCAAAAATCATCCAAATATCAAAATCAAAGACACCACAACTTAAAAAACACAGACCAATATATCCCTTACGAATACAGATGCAAATCCCTTACGCAAAACCCTAGCAAACCAAATCCAGGAGTATATAAAAAACATCATCACCAAAGTCAAGTGGGATTCAGCCAAGAACGCAAGGGTAGATCCACAGATGGAACCCAATCAATAAAGGGCAAAAACATTGATTCCAAGACACCACAAGTGCAAATCCAAACTGTCTCATGACCGAAAATACAGCATACAAAGGCTGAGTGAACCAGAAGAGAGAGACTCCCGAGACGGGCAGGATGGCGTGTAAAAGTCACCCGGACAGGGACGGAAGAAGAAAGCCTACGTCTACGTGCCGGTGACATGACCTCATACACGGAAAACCACAAATACGTTAAAAAACTGAGAATAACAAACAAGTCTAAGGTTGTAAGATGCAAGCTCAATAGCAGAACCAACCGTATTGCTGTACGCCAGCCGAGGACGATCTGAAAATGAAATTAAGAGACCAATTCCACTTACAACAGCATCAGAACATCATAAAATACCTGGGCATAATTTAACAGCGCCACACTTACCACCTGAAAGCAGCAAAACGCTGTTGAAAGAAATCGAAGAGATTTCCGATTTCATGATCCGCAGAGGTAACACTGTCAAGGTGACAACCCCCCAAAGCCATCTGCAGAGTCAACGCAATCCCCCAGAATCCCAAGGACCCCGAATATCCAAGACAACCCTGAGAAAGACCGAGGTCGGAGACGCGGAAGCCTGCCACGAAGCCGTGGTGAGCGGAGGGCGGCGGAGGACAGACAGACCAGTGGGACGAAGGAGCGGAACGGGATCACGGCCCCGGGGTGCTCTCAGCCCCACGGCAGGCTGCTGGGTGGTGACGCGGCCGGCGCGCTCTCACCAGCTTCTCCTTGTCTCCCGTCGGCCGCATCTCCACGTCGGCCCGGCCTGGCCCCGTCTCCGCTCTCCTCCTCGAGTCCTCGCGTCCTTCGCGTGCGGCCAGCCTCGTGGAACTCTCCCCCTCTCTCCGCAGACCATGCCGCGGCTCCCATGCCTGGGGGGGCTCCACGGCAGGGGTCTGTGCGGCCCTTACCTCCTTCTCCCTCTCAAGCTCCGCACAGCGCTTCTGCACGTCCACCTGCTCCAGCCTGGCTTGCAGCTCCGCCACGCGGGACTTCTCGTCCTTCAGCCTCCTCAGCACAGCGTGGTGTGCCGGCGGGTCCCATGCGCCGCGGCTCAGCTGCTCCGTCAGCAGCCGCTCATGCCGTAGAGCCGCGGCCAGCTCCAGCGACCGGCCCTTCTCGGCCTCTAGGCTCCGCCGCAGCTCGGACAGCTGGCCCCGCTCCTGCGCCAGGAGCGCCTCACAGCGCGAGGCCTCGATCTGCAGCTCCTTCTGGAGGTTGTCCTTCGCCGTCTGTTCATGTTTCAGCGCAACACACAGTCGATTACTCTGAGCACACTGCTTCTCCAAGGATACTCTCAACTCCTGTGTCGGGGAAACGTCCGTCAAGAGCAGTACGGAAACAGTTCTCCCGCCCCGACTCCCGTTCCTATCCCCAGGCCAGCAACCACACCTTGTTCTACAGTACCCACAGTCCCGTCCTCACCTCACCGTCCCCTTCACGGGCGGAGCACGTTTTGGAAGCGGTGCTCCGTAAACGCACACCCACGCCCTGGGTTCACTCTCCCTCCCCGACAAGCATGACACCCCGGACGCTCAGACAGCGTCCTGCTCGGCGGAGCCACGGGCTCCGTGTGCGTGAACGACCGCTTCGCTCCGCCTGGAACGGGGGAGCACAGATCCCCTGCCGGACATGCGGCCCTCCCAGCTGCCCAACGGCACGGCAGTTCACGCACACAAGCGCCTCTGGACACAGAAGCCGGGTCACCGCCATCTGTGCGGCTGGACACACACTTCCGAGGCTGCGCTCCGGGCAGCTCGTCAGTGAGGAGGCCGCGTCCGCCTCGAGGAGCCCCGCGCCCAGAGACGCCGGGGACTACGAGCACCGTCTGTCACGACGGAGATGTGGCTGCACCAGACACAGGCCCGCTTCTCCCGGCACGTGCCCGCAGGAAGGGGAGGAGGGGCCCCGCTGCCCAGGCACCTCCAGGGTCTTGGAGCTCTGGCCCTCCTTCTGCAGGTGCTGCAGATGCTCCTCCTGCAGCCGGCTCTGCAGGGCGCGCTCCTTCCCGCGCTCGCACTCCAGCTCCTGCAGGGCCGCCTTCAGGTCGCTCTCCTTACCGTCCAGCACGGACCTGTGTGGGGAGACGGGCCCACGCGGGTCACGGGCGCTCGCCCACAGTGCGCACAGACCACAGCCTGCGAGGGCCACTCTTCCACGTCCACACCGAGAGATGTGGGGACAAGTGCGTGACTTCCGCGCGTTACCCGACAGTCCGCGGCCAGGTGGGTGAGGGCCCTACCTCAGCTGGAGGACCTCCTTCTGCGCCTCACTGAGGGAGGCCAGCAGCCTCTCGTTGTCCTGCTCACGCTCCTGGAGCTCGGACCTCAAGTCTCTGACGACGGTCTGCTCCACCAGCAGGAGCTTCCGAACGCTGCTGGCTTTCTCCTGCTCTTCGTGCAGGGTTTTCTGAACTTCGCTTGCCATCCATTTCTCCCGCTCGACCTTATATGCCAGTAACTCCACTGGGGGTATGTTAGAGAACACAAGACAGCACTTCCTGTGAACCCAGCTGAGCTGTACCGGGACGGCACAAATTAAAAACAAACCAGTGTGGGGACGAGGAAGCATTCGCTCTTGGGGAAAATGACATTTCCGGGCCTACAGCCGGGACGCTGCCCCCCCCACTCCCCCCCCAACACCCTCCAGGCCTCGGGGCACCTGGAGATGCATGGGCAGAATGGCCGCACAGGCTGGAGGGCACGACATGGCTCCCCAGGGCCAGCTGCTCAGGCCTGGGGTCTGCCTGGACGCAGAAGGGCAGGCTGGGCGGAGATGGACCGTCCCCGCAGTCATCCTGAATCACAGCTTCCCCCGCGACTCTTACACTGCATGGTCCCAACAGAGACAGCCCCGACCCCAAGAGCTTCACTACAGAATTCTCCCAAAACCTAGGGAGGAAATAACCCTGGTTCTCTACAAACTCCGGAACACAGAAGGGAAGAGACACCTGCCAATCCGCCACAAGGCTGGCACTACTCCAACACCAAAACCGAAGACAAAACCACAGACCAGCACCCCTCACGCAAGCACATGCGAAGTATCAGCAAGCCCAACCCAGAAATGCTCACAAGGTAACGCAACACGACCCAAATGCAAGGTGCGCCGCTGGACGGGTCTGGCCCGCCATTTAACACCCAAAACTAGGAAGAGAAGGGGCTCTGTGAGCATGGGGCGCGGGTTCGAAGACCCCAACCGGCACCATGTGTAGGAGTGTGAGATGGAGCGCTGCCCCTGCCGCAGAGGACTGCCACGGCCCTCCACTCACCAAAACGCTCTGGCCTAACCAGAGCGACTGGTAACAAGAGGAGGCAGGCGGGAAAAAAAATAAAATGCTTTTTATTCAAAGACAACATGAGCATCTATTAAAAAAAATCCCGAAGAGCCTAAATTAAATGTAGAAACACGTGACAGGCTGTTCAAACCCAGCACAAGCCCCAGAGATTCCCAGGCACAGTCCTGCCGGCGTCCGGCACTCATGCCGACGCAGTCCCTCCACGACCCGCCGGGACCCTGGGCAAGGCCTCCACCCACCCCAACCCCCCCCCCCCCCGCCCCGGTCACCTCACCCGCAGCTCTGTGAACCGAGAACTGCCAGGGCTGATGGCCCCCGTGCCCAGGGACCCGGGCAGGCTGGGACGCTGCTGGGGCCACGGCATCCAGTGCTGGGCAGCCCGCGGGGGCGAGGCTCACCTGTGCACCCCTCCCCCACAGGGGAGCACTGCGGGGCGCAGGCGTGAGGGCGGCACTCACCCTGCCTGCGCAGCTGGTGCTCCTGCTGGCTCCCACGGGCCTCCGCGCTGGTCAGCGCCGCGCACAGCTTCTGCAGCTTCTCCTGGCTCTGCAGGTGGGTCATGCGCAGCTGGGCGCGCAGAGCCTGGATCTCGGACAGCAGGCTGCTCCTGTCTGACAGGCGAAGGTGCTCCAAGGACTCCTCCTGCAGATCTCCCCAGAGGTGCGGGGGGGGGGGGGGGGAGCAGGGTCACAGACGCGGCCACTAGCAGGCCTTGCGGCGGAGGAGCACCCCCGAGTGGGGAAACACGGGAGCCCGGAGCGCGTCCCAGGGGCGGGGAGGCCAGGCCTGGCAAGAGTGCTGACAACTCCAGGCGCAAGCAGCCCACCAAATGCAAATTCGTGCCTCCAGCTTCGCGGGCACGAGCTTGGCGACGGAGCCTCGTCCCCGACACAGTAAGAACAGACTCGCAGGAGGATACCCGTGACAAACACGTGGTCTGGAACACGGACCTCACACACCTCTCCCCCAGGTCTATGCCAGAGTGACCTGCCGTGGGCCCTGCGTCCAGACTCCAGTGCCCTCTCCTACGAGAGGCCTGGTGGAAACAGTGCCGACCCCTCTGGCGCTCTGACCCTCCAACCCTGGGCTCAGCGCTCACAGCCTGGGTCAGGCCACTTAGCGCTGCTCTGTTTTCAAGGAAAGAACACAGTGAGGTTGACAAGGAGAACGAATGCACAGACGTCTCCACTTGATGGAATCATGATTAAACAGTGTTACGTTTGGACGGAGGCAGGACTTCTTCCTGGTCACTGCCACGTTCCAAGGTCAAATTGCCATGAACTGGTTCCGTCACCCTCTCTGCTGCGCGGCTCTGGGAAATAAATCAAGGCACGTGCTCACCTGCTGCTGGACCACCTTCTCTAGCCGCTCCAGCAGGGAGCTGTGGTCCCTGGGCTCAGAGCCGCAGGGCTGGGGCTGCAGCTCGGCCCTCAGCATCTCCCGCTCTTTTCCAAATGCCTCCTGCACAACCTGGAGAAATTCTCCTCTCCAGTCAAGACACATGCCGGGAGGGTCCTAAAATATTGGGACAAGGAGCTCAGTGTCCTTACAAATGCGTCCTGTAGGCTGAACCAGAAACCACCCAACAGAAGAGCAGACACAAGAGAACCCACGACTGTCCAGGGCACAAGAAGCCAGCCCTGCTGAGGGAGGAGAAGCCACCGAAGGACAGAGCACCGCCACACCACGAGGCCCAGCACGGCTGCTGCTGGCTGGCCACCTTGTCCCCTGGCAGGCCTGGGCCGGGCACTGGGGTACTGCTTCCCTGCACACCCTGTGGCCAGTAGGTCCCCTTGGATGTGGTTCAGCACCTGGCCCTCACCGAGCTGCCCTGGTTCCCTGGTTGCAGAGTGGACACTGGAACCCTGTGGGCTCAGGCCCAGCCCCCAAGCCTGCCTCCCGTCACCCACCTCGAGCAGAGCTCCACCATGTGTCCTCCTCCCACAGCCTCTCCTGCCCTAATGGGGCCGGGAACGTGCTGGCACATGGCTGGTCCCAGCAAACATGACTGAGAGGGGTGGCTGGCCAGGAACACGGCCCCCATGCCCACCGCTGACCCACCCCTTATTCCCTTTATCCCACTTATGTGGCTAAGCAACCCCCTCCAATTGCTCCTCACCCACACCTTATTCTCTTTCAGGTGGGACGCCCCGTACCTTCTCTCCCTTTTGGGGTGCTAGGTTCAGATGTCTCCGCAGGGCCGGCACCGCCTCCAAAAGGCCGGGGCCCTCCCTCGGGAAGTGCTCAAGGGGGGCACTCGGCTCGCCCTTGCTCAGGGCGCTGGGCGGCCCGCGGCACTCGGACAAGGCCAGTATGTGGTGGCTCTCGTCACACACCATCTGCAGCAAAGCCTGCAAGGGGACAAGCATTTCAAAAAGAGGGAAAACGAGCTTGAAGCTACTCATCCACCCAGTCCCCTGCCCATCACCCATGAATGCTCACCAGGGCGGCCTGCACAGCACTCCCATGACCTTTGAACCAAAGACCGAGTTCTGCGGTTCTGTAACATTCTGAACCGTCCCTCCCCCACAACCTTCAGAGGCAGCTAGGAAACCAGTTTGAAAGAGAATTTCTGGGTAGGCTACTCCAAGGACAGCCATCCCACCAGTGCCTGCACGGTGGACACCATCCCTACCACCCCTTCCTTAAGCCTGGGCGGGGCGCAGGGCAGGGCCTCGGGCCAACTTCTGAGGCCAGGTCATCAAGATGCCTTGCGATTCCCCGGCCCTTCTGGGACTGCACCTGCCACGCTCCGAGAAGGCTGCAGGGAGCCGCACAGGAGGCCTGTGCGTCCTTGGGGGTGAGGCCTGCACACTCCAATGTCTTCAGTGGGGCCCAGACATGGGGAGCAGAGGGATGGTCGCCCTGACAAGTCCCTGCATGCAGGGTCTGTGAGCACTGGAACGGGTCCTTCACGGCACCGGGACATGGGGACACACACACTGGCCACCTGTCTCCTGCCCGAAGACACAGACAGAGGAAGAAAGTGGCTTCCCCAGAACTACCCCCGGGGCAGGACCGATACAGGGTCCAAAGTAACCATCACGGGCCTCACTCCACACAAAGATTCATTCAAGGGGCATGTTATGTTTCAATCTCTGGGGAAAAAAAACTAATAGATGCCTCAAACAGGAAGTATAAAAGTAGCAATGAAGGGGTTAGCTTGGTCAGTTCAGTGTCCGACTCCTGATTTCAGCCCAGTTCATGATCTCAGGGTCCCGGGATCGAGTCCTATGTCAGGCTCTGGGCTCAGCGGGGAGTTTGTTTGAGATTCTCTCTCCCTCTGTCCCTCCCCCCACTAGCATGCGCGCACTCTCTCAGATAAATCTTAAAAAAGTTCAACACCCAAAAAACAAACAACCCAGTTAAAATGGACAGAAGGCACGAACAGACACTTTTCTGAAAAAGACATCCAGATGGCCAACAGACACATGAAAAAGTGCTCAACATCGCTCAGCATCAGGGAAATCCAAATCAAAACCTCAATGAGATCCCACATCACACCAGTCAGAATGGCTAAAATTAACAAGTCAGGAAACGACAGATGTTGGCGGGGATGCGGAGAAAGGGGAACCCTCCTACACTGTTGGTGGGAATGCAAGCTGGTGCAGCCACTCTGGAAAACAGTATGGAGGTTCCTCAAAAAATTGAAAATAGAGCTACCCTACGACCCAGCAATTGCACTCCTGGGTATTTACCCCAAAGACACAGATGTAGTGAAAAGAAGGGCCATATGCACCCCAGGGTTCAGAGCAGCAATGTCCACAATAGCCAAACTGTGGAAAGAGCCTAGATGTCCATCAACAGATGAATGGATAAAGAAGATGCGATATGTATACACAATGGAATATTATGCAGCCATCAGAAAGGATGAAATCTTGACATTTGCAAGGACGTAGATGGAACTGGAGGATATTACGCTAAGTGAAATAAGTCAGTCAGAGAAAAACAATTACCATATGATCTCACTGATATGCAGAATATAAGAAACAAAACAGAGGATCATAGGGGAAGGAAGGGAAAGATAAAACAAGATGAAATCAGAGAGGGAGACAAACCATAAAAGACTCTCAATCATAGGAAACAAACTGAGGGTTACTGGAGGGGCGGTGGGGGGATGGGGTAAGTGGGTGACGGGCATGAAGGAGGGCACGTGATGTAATGAGCCCTTGGTGTTGTATGCAACTGATGAATCACTAAACTCTACCTCTGAAACTAAAACTAATAATATACTATATGTTAACTAGAACTTAAATTTAAAAGATACATGATTAATAAATATTTTATTTTTAATGTATTTTAATGTCTTTTTCACCACCTACAGTGGGAAAATTGACATGTATAAACACATTATGACTTTTAAAAATAAATAAATAAGTAAATAAGTAAATGTCTGGTAAAATTCCTCTGGGAGGTGGGAGAGTAGCAATGAAGAGGCTTATGACAGAGCACAATTAGCTAACTAGAAATAGGTTTTGCTAGGATTCAAATGATGTGACCCAAAAAAGTGGAATACTGACATAAAAGTGCTAAAGGCCCAACTACACATTATGTTTACTTTAAAAACACTTCATTTGGGGGCGCCTGGGTGGCTCAGTCGGTTAAGCGTCTGCCTTTGGCTCAGGTCATGATCCCGGGGTCCTGGGATCGAGTCCCGCATCGGGCTCCCTGCTCCCTCTGCCCCTCCCCCACCCTGCTCATGCGCATGCTCTCTCTCAAATAAATAGATAAATAAATCTTGTAGACAGGATCGTTTCCTCTCGATGGTACCGTAACGGCAATGTAATCGGACCGCACCTATGGGGGGCACAGCGTGACATATAAACTTGTCAAGTCGCCAAGCTGTCTGTGCACCTGAAACTGGTAGAACGTCGGTGTCAACGACACTCAAAAAAAAAAAAAGTTTTCTTTGGAAATGCTTTCAGTTTCACAACAGTGACACATCATTTACTTACTCAGCCAAGTCTGTGTCAGTGGTTTGACGGCGAAAGGATTTGCTAAACCGGCGAGAGAACAGGGAACCTGTGGAAAGTGCCACAGGCCGTCTGCCCCAGGTGACAGAGGTGCTAAGTAACCTCCCTGGGGGGTCACTGCACCTTAAACTCACTGTCCCGCGTCAATTAAAACCAGAACAGAGCTGTTTTAAAAGTCTGCTCCTAGCTGAGCTGCCGCATGCTGACCGTGGCTGCCCTCCTCCGGCGAGGACTCCGCTCTGCGGCCAGGTGGGCAGCACGAGAGGGTCCTCGGGGAGGCACCCGCAGGGCCAGCACAGGGGCAGCGGGCGGCTCACCCAGCGGGCCACCCCGTCTGCTCTGCGGCTCGGTCCCCTGCAGGCGCCTGGCGGAGGGCGGCCCAGTGCTGAGCACATGCCACAGACGTCTTAGGCCGAAGGTCAATCGCCAGGACCAAACAGAGGGTCGTGCGTTCTGATAGCTGAACTCAAGTCAGGAAGACTGACCCCGATTACAGCACCTGCACTGGCAGGCCCCCTGTGCGCTGCGCGGCAGCAGGTGCAGGAAGAGCTGGTCCTCCTCCGGGGACCCCAGGGCCCGAGGCCCCCGCAGCCCCACCAGCCCGCCACACCAGGCTCTCACCTGCAACACCCGTCCCCACGCACCCCAGGACAGCAGCTATCTCCCTCCGGAAACACTCACACGAGACGGGAGTCCGAGCCCAGCTAGAACTGACGCAGCGGTGTGTGCGGGATGACGCACGCAACCCAATGCCACGCACCCTCCCAGCAGCCACAGCAGCTGCAGACGGAGGCACATGGCCACTGCACACCCTCACCTTCACTTGTTTCGGATGCACTTCTTTCTCCTTCATAGCTTCCAGCGGCCGTCGGAACCTTCCAGAGGTGGGAGGCGGCTCTGGAGGACTAGCAGTGGGGGTTTCGAGTCTTCCCAAACCTTGGTTTAGTATCTTTCCAAACCCCGAGCCCTCACCTAAAAACACAGCACAAAGTCAGGGTCTAAACCACAGTCCTCTGGCGGCATTCCTGGGGGAGGGTCTGGGGGGGAGGGGCACTCAGCGAGAGCCAGGGGTGTGGTCAGACCCCGGCTTCCTGGTGCTGCGTGAGGCCCCAAAACACTCAGGAGAGCTACAGCCAGGGCTCCCCTCCCTGAAGGCATCGACAAACCACCGAAGAAGGCAAAAATAGTTTTACAAAACCGTAAGATGACGTAACTACACACATTAAGAAAAGGCGTATTTTGCATGTTTGGTATGTGAATACCCATGATTCCAACATAAACCTTAATGGGATCTCAGCTCATTTGTAAACAGATGCAGAGGTGGGTTTCCTCATCCCCCAAAGACAGGACCCAAGCCCGCATGGGCAGACCGATGTGGGCGGGGCCTGTATTTCCACACCCAAGGAAGGGATAGGGACAGGGCAGGGCTCCCACCGCGTGCAGAGAGAGGAGGAGGGGGACAGGAGATGCACGGTGCCATCCGCAGGGCTGTGTGCAGGCAGCAGGTCAAGCAGTAGGCATCTGGCCGGGAAAAGGTGAACACACCTGATGGGGGGTGGGTGGAGTCAAGCTCTGAGACCAGCCAGGCTGGACTGGAGAGCCCTCAAAAGTCTAGGGTTTGAGACACCAGAAACCCCTCACGGGGGGGCCTCAAAAAGGAATTCCAAACCTCTCTGAAGTACGTGGTGCGTCCCGTGCAGCCCACAGCCAATGCCCAGAGGCTTGGAAAATAGAGGGAGGCATCCAGGGAAAAGCAGGATCAGCCTTTGGGGCTGCTCCGCTGACCGGCCCCGAGCACGCGTAGGAACGGGGGCTCAGAGACCCTGGCATGGCCCCTCCCAGCACAGACCTTCCAGCAAGTTGCCGAGACCACCCTGCTGAGGAGTCTAGGTTCTTAAACATGCCAAAGAATGCGCAAAAGACAGCATGAAACAGGGACTCAGAGACCGCTGGGGGAGATACAATAAAGGCAGCAAACACAAGAAAACTTCAGAAAAACCAGAATATCTTCAGAGAAGTAAGTCTCATTCGTGGAACAAGGAAATTTCAAGAGAAAGGAACAGAGAATAAGAAAGAAGAGCTCTTAGAAGTTAAGACACAGCGGAAATGAAAACATTCACTTCCAAGCTTAAGAACTAATTTCTTAAAAGGTTCTTTAACAAATAAGAACGAAAGTACAAAGAAATGGAAACAAAGTGAGAAAACAAGAACATCAGTCCAGTGATTAACAGGAAGTACAGCAAGATGAGAGCCAGGGGGCAGTACCCCAAGGAACACTGAAGACCTATTCAGGATGAAGGACGTGCCCAGGCGCGTGGCGTCACATGGCGGCCGCGGTGCTCCGTGACACCAGGCTCTGGGACAGTGGTCAGACACTCTGGAGTCTGAAGGAATGTGACTTCTCACCTGTGAATCTGCACGAAGCCCAAACCATCAACAAACATCAGGAAGATGCAGAAGTTCTTAGAAAACCCACCTCACACGTGCGTTTTCTGCAAATGCTTCTAGAGAACACACTACTTAAAATAAGGACCACAAAGGAGGGACAAGGGGTCTGACCCAGACAGCGGAGACGGCATGTTCAGAAGATGACATGGGCAGCGCACACCCATGCTTGCGGACAGTGTGGGCAGGACCCGTGACGGAGAACAGGAGGGAAACCAGCTGTCTGGGGGAGGACACTCAGTCCCAGAAGTTCTGCGGGAATCTGACAGGTGCACTCAAAACACAAACTCTGTGGTGAGGGGACAGGGCAGGACGATGGGGCCACCTTAGAAGATGGGGAAGGGAAGTATAAGAAACTGGCAGCCAGAAGTTTAAACATGTTGCTGTAATTAGCACATGTGATTTAGAAATAAATTCCGGAACAGATTTCTCAAAATTAAATGTGGGTGTCCTCAGGGAACGGTGGTTTGGAGTGGGGGCAGCTGGAAGGCACCTTGCAGAACAGCTCGATTCTTAAACCAGGCACTTACCACACGGAATAACTCAAAACTAAAATTAAAACGTTGCTGGCCCCAATGAACTTTAGTTCACTGTGGTCTAGTTTTCAAAAGCACTGAACTGAGTCAATGATGACTTTTTTTAAAAAAACCAAAACATCTCAACAGGTGAGGAACTTGTAAAAAGCCAACAATTACAGAAGGACAAGGTTAGAAGGTCACGGTTTGGCAACCATTCTAATGATGATCCAGGCGACAGTCACTCCTGGAGGCTAACGTGAGTGGGTCTGAGTCTGAGAAACAAGAGATCACAGGCATGGTCTCGTAACCCCCTGCCCAACACTAAGCAATCGAAAAGGAAAAATCGAACAAAACCTGGCAGACACCACTGCCAAGGGGTCCAAGCGGGACACTTGCAAGCCTTGTGCTGTGATGCCCTGGGAAGACCATGGCATCGATGCGGGACACCCATGCTGACGACTCTGCTCCAGATACCCAAACGAGATGCAGAACTGCTGGAAAAGGGAGGGGCTCCCTCTCGGGGCCTGCACGGCACAGCCTCCCTCCCACACTGCAGGGCCAGCAGCAAGGGACATCTGAATGCCTCGTACCAGCGCAGTACCCCCTCCTGTGAAGGGCGCCAATGGGACAAGTGGCAAAATCTAAGGAAGGTCGGTAGTTGAGATGCTGCCGTGGGCCACGGCGGACGTCCGGGTGCTGAGTGCAGGGTCTGAAGGTGCACAATTGAGTTTTCCAGAGTAACATGACCTCAGGCCTTCAGGTGCCGCTCAGCACAGAGAGGAGATGGAGGCGGGCACGGCCAGGGTGCACCAGCAAATGCCAACCTGGGGGCCCTCCATGCTGTCCTGTTCCCTGAAACCTTAAGAGGTTAAAAAAAAAAAAAAAAAAAAAAAGACTGACTCACTGTTTTCACTTCCATTGTTCTTTCCTTCAAACCCGAGAGGAGAGGATCTGGGCTTTTCTTGAGCATCAAGAGATGTTACGATAAAGTCTTCAACATCTTTCTCCTGTTCAAACAGGCAAGTTTTTAAATGGTCATAAAATAACAACCGATCATACCAGGGAGCTGAACTAGCCAGATGGAAACTTTCTAAGGCCTGAATTTATCATTTTTCCACACAGAACCCAAACAAGAGTGTTTCACGCTTGGGAACACACTGAAATCATGTGCTTCTAAGAATTTAAACCCACCAAATATCTCAGATTAAAAAAACTTCTGTGGTAGCATGATGGGGATATGGGTATCTCAAATATCATGCTCCCTGAAACTTGTTTTTTATTTTCTCGAACCCAGGATATGCAAAATCTCAACATTATTCCGTAAGAAAAGATACAGTCTAACTCAAAAATAATTTTTTAAATTAATTAGCATTATATGTAGAGCCTATTAAGTATGAACTACAACTGAAAACAAATTTAGAAAAGACACTCTAGACAAAGAACCTGAATGAAAACTACACACGAAGGCGGGTTTGTGACTGTGCCTCTCGCGGGCTAGTGAGCGCACGGAGGCCGGGCCTGAGTATCTGAGTGGGACTGGTGCGTCGCACATATTTTTAGGAATAACCGAAGTCCTCCAACTATTCGTATTACAACCGACTGGGGCTGGTGCTGCAGAAAGCGGGCTGACCGGGGGCTGTCAGCTGTGTGCCCACGCCGGGGCCCGGCCCCACCAGCAGGTGAACCAACAATGGCTGCAACTATGATCCTGCGGCTGCTGCACACACATTTCCACGGGGACACTCGGGGCCCTGGGCACCCACGGACAGCAAGCCAGGGCAGCATCCAGGAAGACCACTTACCACAGCCATCCGCTGCACATGTTGGTCAGCGGAGGGCGCTCTGTCTGCAGCCAGTGGAGACTCTGCCCACCTGGAGGCCTTTCCTGCTGCTGAGCCGCCCAGGGACCAAAGCAGCTCCAAATGGTCAGCCTGGACCGAGGCACTGGTCCTGTCCTGCAGGGAGGCGTCCAAGCTCAGGGCGTCTGAGCATGGTGTCAGGGGCAGGCTGGGCACAGGCTCACGAGTGGAGTCCTTCCTGACAACCTCCGGGGAGCTCCAGGAGGACAGATCCACTGCCCTGAGTGTGTTCTTCAAGGGCCCAGGCCCCTCCGTATGGGTTAGGTCATGGCAGCCAGCATGGAAGCCTGCTTGTAAACAAAGTGATCCGTCCTGCAAGTCAACCTCATCTTCCATGGCAACATTTGACATTTCATTTTTTATCAGTGGATCCTGACTTCCACTAAGGTCAATTAGATCACACGTGGTTTTGTCGCTATGAAATGCATCCACAAGAGGCGATTTGCCAGTTCCTTCACTGTGACTAGAACTATCACTCGAACTATTTTCTAAAGCATGTGAAGATGCCACCAGCTGCTGATGTTTGAAATCCTCTGTCTCGATGTTCTGGAAGTTCACAGAATACACCAGACGGTTCAACTTTTCTTGAAGCTCTTTCACCTGACTTATGAGACCAACTTTCCACAGCTGACAATCTTCCAGTAGTTTTTCCTTATTCTGCAGGTAAAAGGGACATGCATAAAGTAAAATAATTGAATTACACATGGTCACGTCTGTCTGTCTGGTATTTATAAGCCAACTTCAGAGGCTGTCTGAGCAGTTAAGAATGAGCCTCCATGAGGAGCCCTGGGGTGGAGATTTTAAGCTTTTTCAATTCCAGGAAAGACAGACTCACAGCTGAGAGCCCTCTGCCTACATGGTGACTGCTGCAGAGGACTCTGGGAAGTAGGCAGAGCAGGAAGCACCAGGAACCCGTCTCCCACCTGGGCACCAACTGCGCTGGCAGAACCGTGCCTGCCCTATACAACTCTGGAGTCTGCCCAAGGCTTGCAACTTGCGGGGGGTGCAGGGCTTGGGGGTAAACTGCAGCCAATCTGGACACTCTCAGCTCCTCGCACAGGAGCAGTTACCCATCCCTGGACCCCCAGCCCCTTGGCAGGCTGGCGTGCACCCTTTCCTGGAGCATCTTGCACATGATGTGTGCGAGCCACGGTGGGCAAAAGGGGCTGTCCCACAAATACCGGGCACATGTGCTCTGACTGCCGCTCCAGGCCACTGAGGAGCAAAGTGGTGTGAAGCCTGTGGCAGCCCCTCCCCCTCTGGCTGAAGTGACCTCCGGGGGCTTTAAAGGGCCGGTGCCCTTTTTCCCACCACAGCATTCTTCTTTTTGTGGAGAACTTAAAAACCAGAACACTCAAAAACAACTGCATATATAGAGGAAATGAGAAAGTGACTGTGAGTGCCCAGGTAAAGGTGCAGACGAAGAAAATATGTGAGATGACCTGAAGTTGATACTTCAAGCTGATCCTCGGCACAGAGACCATTAAAAAAATAAATAAATAAATAAAATGGAAAAATAACAAAAACCAGCAAGCTATGAGGAAGGAGGAGATACAGATTTCCAAACTGACATTGTTAGACTCAAATGTTCAGTGTTCAAAATCAAACCACAAGAAAAAGTACCCCAAGGCATACAAGGAAACGGGAAAGTATGGCCCATTCAAAGGAAAAAAGCAAATCCAAAGGAACTGTCCCCGAAAAAGATCCAATGTCAGATCTACTAGTCAAAGATGTTACAACAATGGTCTTAAAGACATTCGAGGAACTAAAGGAAGATGTGGAGAAGGTCAAGAAAATGATGTGTGAACAAAGTAGAAATATCAATGGAGACAATCTAAAGGAACCAAAAAGAAACTGTGGAGCTGAAAAGCACAATAATTTAAAAATTCACAAAAGGGATTCAAAGGCAGATTTGAGAAGGTGAAAGAATGAACTGAACTTAAAGACAGAATAATGGAAATGATCATTTCTGAGGGGAAAAAAAAGAAAAAGAGATTGACAAAAGTGAATTCAGACTACGGGACGTGTGGGACACCGGCAAGAAGACCAACATACGCATTGTGGGAGTCCCAGAAGAGGAGAGAAAGGCGGCTGAGAAACTATTTGAGGACATAATGACTGAAACTTCCCCGAATTGATGAAAGACACACATATAAACATCCAAGAAACTCAACATATCCCAAAAAAGATGAACTCAAAGAGACTCACACCAAGATACGTTATAATCAAACGTATAAAAGCTAAAGGCTCTGAGTGACTTGTCACATACAAGGACCCTCATAGCATCACCAACAGATTCCTCTTCAGAAACTGGAGGCCGGAGAACAGCCAGTCAGTATATTCAAAGTGCTAAGAGAAAAAAACAGTCAACTACAAATCCAATATTCAGCAAAACTGTCCTTTAAGAGTGAGGAAGAAATTACGATATTCCCAGATCAGTAACAGCTACAGGAGTTTGTGACCACTATACATGCCCTGCCAGAAACGCTCAAGGGAGTCCTGCAGGGTGTCATGAAAGGTTGCCGGACGGTAACTCAAGGTCACGTGGTGAAATAAAGCGCTCAGTAAGGTAAGTGCACGCACAAGAAAAGCCAGTGCGTTAGACTGAACACCTGAAACTGACATAACACTGTGGGTCAAAATACTTGAATTTTTTAAAAAGCTTGTGCTGTCAGGACAGTGGTGTGCAACTCCACATTTTGTTTTCATCATGATTTAAAAGACACACTTGTTAAAAATAGTCTAAAAGTTAGCTTGTTAAGTTTGTAACTCCATGTTTTTTCTACATAACAAGAAATTAATGGATTTAAAACAATCATTAGTTTTAGGTTTTGAGGCACAAAAGTATAAAAATGTGCTTGTGACATCAAAAACCAAAAGGGGTAGGGGAGAGCTGTAAAGGAACAGTTTTTATAGTTAAGCTGGTATAAATTCAAACCACAGTGTTATAATTCTGGGTGCTAAACGTAATCCCTAACATAACCACACACACAAAAATAGCTATAGTGTGTACACAAAGAGAAATGAGAAAGGAATTTAAACATCTCAGTATAAAATGCCAACTAAGCACAAGAGAATACAGTAATGCAGGAAATTAGAACCAAAAAAAAGCTATTAGGCATATAGGAAGCAAAGAGCAAAATGACAAAAAAATATACCTCCTTATTTGCAATTACTTTAAATGTAAATGGATTAATCTTTCCCATCAAAGAGGGAGAACGGCAGAATGCATAAAAGCACATGATCCTGGGGAGCCTGGGGGGCTCAGTCTGTTCAGCATCTGACTCTTGATTTCAGCTCAGGTCATGATCTCAGGGTTGTGAGATCGAAAGCCCCACTTCAGGCTCCCGCTCAGTGGGGAGTCTCCTTCATTCTCTGCCTCTTCCCCCCCTTTTATGCTCGCATGCTCTCTCTCTAATAAATTAATAAAACTGTTAAAAGAAAAAAAAGACAGAAGCAGAGGAATGCCTCCTGACTCATGGTATGAGTCCAGCAGTACCTTGATACTAAAGCTAGAAAAAGACACTACAAAAATGAAAACTGTAGACCAATATCCCCTATGAACATTGATGCAAAAATTCTAAAATACTAGCAAAATGAATTCAATACCATATTAAAAGGATTATACACTCTAACCAAATGGCGTTTATTCCTGGAATGCAAAGATAGTTCAATATAGGAAAACCAACCTACATAATACACCACATTAGCAAAATGAAGGGGAAAAAAATCACATGATTGTCTCAACTGGTGCAGAAAACGCATCTAACAAAGTTCAACACCCTTTCACTACAGACATTCAACATACTAAAAGAAAACTACCTTAACATATAAACCCATACATGAAAAACATATGGCGCACATCATACGCAGTGGTGATGGACTGAAAAGATTTTCCTCTAACACCAGGAACAAAGCAAGAATGCCTGCTTTCACCACTTCTCTTCAACACAGTACTGGAAGTTCTAGCCAGAGCAATTAGGCAAAAAAAAGAAATAAAATGTGTCTCAATTGGAAAGGAAGAAGTAAAATTATTTATGTTCCAAGATAATATGATTGTGTATGTGCAAAACAAGGATTCCATTAAAAAAAAAACCTATTAGAATTAATAAATCAATTCAGCAAAGTCACAGGATACAAAGTCAACATATAAAAATCAGTTGCATTTCTACACACCAACAATGAGCAATCGGAAAAAGAAACAAAGGAAACAATTCCATTACAATAGCAACAAAAAAGAAGAAAATGATTAAGAATTCGCTGTACCAAGGAGATGAAAGTTTTGTACAATGAAACTATAAAACGTTGCTGAGACAAATTAGGGAAGACAAATAAATGGAAGCATATTTCACATTTAGGATTGAAAGACCTAAGACTGTTAAGATGTCAATACTAACAGCCATCTACAGATTCAATACAATCTCTATCAAAACTCTAAGGACGTTTTTTGCAGAAACAGAAAAACCCACCCTAAAATTCAAAGAGTCAAAACAATCTTGAAAAAGAACAAAACTGGAGGACTTGTGTAACTATTTCATGTCAAAACTTATAATCAAGCTACAGTAATCAAAACAGTTGGTACTGGTGGGGGGCTCAGTCAGTTAAGCAGCTGCCTTTGGCTCAGGTCATGATCCTGGAGTCCCAGGATCGAGCCCCATGTCAGGCTCCCTGCTCAGCGGGGAGTCTGCTTCTCCCTCTGTCTCTGCTCTCCCCTGGGCTGTGCTCTCTCACCTGCTCACTCTCTCCAATAAATAAAATCTTTAAAAAAAAAAAAAAAGTTAAGATGTGGGGCACCTGGCTGACTCAGTGGGTTGAGTGTGCGACTCTTGATCTTGGGGTTGTGAGCTCAAGCCCTACGTTGGGTGTAGAGACCACTTAACAAAAAAATAAAATCTTTTTTTTTCTTTTTAAAGATTTGTTTTTCCATTTGAGAGAGAGAGAGAGATAAAAAAAAAAACATGCACGAGTGGGAGGGGCAGAGGGAGAGGAAGAGAGAATCCCCAACAGACTCTGCACTGAGCAGCCCGACACTGGGCTCGATCTCACCACCCTGAGATCACGACCTGAGCTGAAACCAAGACTCAGAAGCTCAACCAACTGTGCCATCCAGGCGCCCCAAAAATAAAATCTTTTAAAAAAAGGAAAGTGCTTAAAATATAACTCTTAGATTATATATATTTTACCACATGCACAAAACAGGCAACTGTCATTTCTGTGGTAATTCACTGAGAACATAAGCATTTTTTTTTTTAAAGGGAAAAAGGGCCTGGAAGATTCTATATGCAAACATTGAAAAATATAAAATTGTGGGGTGCCTGGCTGGCTCAGTTGGAAGAGCGTGTGACTCTTGATCTTAGGATCACAAGTTCAAGCCACACATTGGGTGTAGAGATCACTTAAATAAAAACTAAAAAAAAATAAATAAATAAAATCGTGATTTATGGAATGAATCTGCAATTTCCTTACCACTGTATAACTTCTAAGAATTTGGCAATCAGCTCATAATCACAAGGCTGAGCTTTCTCTCAAGAATTCAAACAAATGTTCTTATCCCAAGGGCGGTGAGAGAAGTTTGCTGCAGTTACAAAGAATTAACTGTCCTGTGGGGATCTGATAAACCTATAAAACCAGACTCAGGCATCTTCTACCAAAACCGCAGGCACGGTCCACGCACGCACTCTGAAACCACCTGTAGAATTCAGAACCTTCTCACTTTACAACAGGAATGTGGTGCGTACGGCACATCACGGGAGAGGTCCCGGGAGGGGAGAACTGTGTTACAGGTTCCACGGTTCCACTGCCAAACTGTGCAGTGTCCACAGCAGCAGGGTCACTGGAGGCTCAAGAGAGCTGTAGATCGAAGCACTTTGCCACTGCGCTTAGGAACCCTCCAGACCAGCCAGCCACCTTAGATTCTCAGAACATCCCGACCCTGCAACACTTGATGCAGTGTTCCCAACTCACGAGAAGAAAAGCCAGCTCTCCTGCTGCTGCCTTCCTGGTGGTCAGAATTTTCAAACTGCTGCCTCCCAGATTACCGTGCTCTTCTCTGCTGGGAGCACAAGGCAAAATACGCAGGAAAACCCTGAGGTTCAAAAAATGCCGTGAGCCTTTCAAAGTAACAGATGCTGGTGACAAAGGCCTTGAGCCACAGTGCAGCTGTGTGGGCAACTTGTCCTCGCATGAAAACCCTAGAGACAGGCCTTAGAGCCCGGTTAAATCCTACTTGTATCATTACCAGACAAGTAACCGATTGCTCATTTCCCCAGGCTGAAAAGACCACGGGACATGTGCATTTCTAGAGAACACCTAAATAAAACGTGTAGGAAATTTCAGAACAGATCCGAAGAGACGACTATAAGAACACAACAGAGCTGCTGTCTGAGGTAACATGCATGTCACCTCTGCAAAAACGTCAGCGACGTCTCTGCCCACGCAGCAGCACCAGCCATGTGCCCAAGTACCTTCATCCTTCCTGGCCCTTTGCCATGGTCCTCCATTCTCAAGGGCATCTCGTTCTTCACCAAGAGCAGCTCAGACTCCATCACGCTGTCTTGTTTGTGCACACCCGGGTGGTTTAACGACACCGGGGCTTCAGCAGGCTGCAGATCACCATTCACTGCACTCTACGGTAAGCGGAGAAAACAACAACAATGCTCGTGAAGATAAAGCTGAAGGTACCAGAAAGTCTGATGTGCACTGAGCCCAGTCCCTGGGCTGCCTCAGACTCCCCAGAGCTCTGGAGCTGGACCCCGAGGCAATGTCCCCATTTCCTACATCATGAAGAACATCAGACCAGAGCTGTGCCCAAAGTCCTGCTGCCTGCTCACTGCTGCTGCAGGTGAGGACGAGCTCCCGGCCTGGGGCTCCCAGGACACGGCACCAGCTGGGCCACCCCACAAAGCACGGGCCAACAGGAGCTGCTCGCAGCCTGGACATGGCACAGGGCAGCAGGCAGCGAACCCCAACTTCTACTCGAAACCAAAGTGCAGCATGTCCCCAAACGAAATGAGCTTACCATGTTTTACACAGGAAATCAGTGTTAAAAAAAATAGAGCAACTGGTTAGAACTCAGGAAAATCCAGGGAGCCTGTGTAACACAAAGCCATCTCATCCAATGTTCCCAGTCACAGGACTCTGAAAACCTTGAATAACTTACGACAGTCAGTTTAAGGCTGTATGAAATAGTGAAACCCCCGGTGCGATTTCACCGTGTACACCACGTTCTGAGACTTGAGGTTCCACGGACCCTAATGCACCCTACCGCAGCAAGAGCCTCCCCACAGAAACCGCACCCCCCGCTGCCTACCACGGGAAGGACACGCTTTCAAATTTAAAGAGGAAAGAGGAGGCACAGTAAGTTCTCGAGAGAACCTCCAACCCCCTGATCTAGCCCCAGTGCTCGGCCACCTGTGGCCTGGGTCAGGGCCTCTTAGGGGGTCTCCCGGTGTATGCCCCCACTCCCCCAGCACGCCGCAGCTCCCTATGCACAGACGCTTCACCTCCGGCAAACCAGCAAGAGGGGGCCTCTGACATGGCCATGGGGGCCTGCTGGCCACATCCTGCTGCGACTCTTCATCACACGCGGCCTCCTCAGCCCTGGGGCCCCGTCCCTGGAGCTACCCTCCACGCGAGGGTGCAGCCTGGGCCCCACACGCCTGCCGCTTGCCCAGCCCCTTCTGGCAGCTCAGGAACCGCTGGTTCCGCACCTGCAGCTGGCCGCTGAGGCGGACACACTGCGCTCGGAGCCCCTGCAGCTTCGGGGGCTCATGCTCAGCGGCCAGGACGAGGCAGAAGCGGGAGAAGGCCATTACGATGGTCTCCAGCTCAGCAGAGTGGGCCAATTCCTCCTGTTTCAGAGCGTCACTCGCTAAGTCCCTTTCTGCGACCTTGGCCTCCTTTGCCTGTAGGGCAGCTCTGAAGGCGTGGATCTGGGAAGCCAAGCCCTGGACCTCAGCCTCCCGGAGGGCCACGCTGCACTCCAGCTCAGCCCGCTGCCTCGCGGCGGCCTCCTCTGCAGCCCGCAAGTGCTGCGGCAGGGCCTCCAGGGGGAGCCGCTGACCCACGGCCCCCGCCGCCGCCGCCCATGCCTCGGGCCCCACGGCGGGGTCGCCCAGCAGCCCGCTAACCTCGGCCCCGGGCACCGTGGGCCCCCCGCGCGAGAGCTCTCTCTGCAGCCTCTCGATGACTTCGTGGAGCTGCTCCACCTCCTCTGCCTTCTCTCTCTGCAGGCGTTGCTGGTTGTCTCGCAAGTTCTCAATGATGGATCTCAGCTCCTCGATCTCTGAGCTTCTGTCACACAGGACCTGAGGAAAAAGCACATTCAGGTGTGAAAAACACGTTTCACCTTCAGAACGTCCCTCCTCAGCTTGCCAGGACTTCACAGCTGTGGGAGCGTTTACTTCTTGCAAACACCCAGATGCTGCCCCCAGCTCCGTCAGGCGCACAGCCGCCGCCTCACCGCCTGCCCGGACACCTGGGTACACGCTGTGCGTCCCCCGCCGCGGTGGGCAGCGCAAACTGGCCGCTTCCCCGCGGCACCTCCGCACGAATGCCACCACCTGCAGAGCGTGCGCTTGCTCAATGCTGAACGGGATAAATTACAGACAGAAATCACTAACAGGAGATTCTGGGGGTCGTTCCGACACGAGAGTAAGAGTGAAGTAAGGAAACCAGGCTCGGGGCCGAGCCAGGCGCTCGCGCTGTGCCACCCCAGACCGCGGAGTGTGCGGTCACTCGTGCCCTGAACGCCGTCCCCAACGACTGTAAGGAAAGAACCCTTGTGATACATACTTTGAAGATAACACAACTGAAGCCCAGACGTTAAGTGTCCAGTAAAGACTGCAGAGACAGGAAACGGAAAATCCGACTGAAACGGTATCGCCAGGGCTCCGAACTCCATTCCGCCAGACTGTACCACCAACAGCGACAAGCCCACGGATGCTCCAGTTAACAACCCTCAGCCCATTTCTTACAGTCCAATGTTCACTTCCTAATAACTGAGGCTTTCTAACAATTCTTGGTTTCACTAGTACCACTGAACGCCCTTAAGCTCAAAATCCAATCTGGCCAATCCTGAACACAAAAGTAAGAACACAGGTGAATTTTTGGTTGTGACTTAGACGGCGTCAGCGGGCCACGGCACACACATCTGCCACATCTACGCGCTGTGTCCTGAACGGGACAGTTAGCAAAGGGAACTCTGGCGGGGGCGGCGAGCCCCTTGGCCAGCCCGTGTGCGCTGCATGGCCGGACCACTGCCAGGACTCTCCAGAGTGACTCTGCACTCGCTGCACTAAGGACACGGGATGAAAAAGCACCACAAACCAGCCTCAATCACAACACAGACATAACCCAGCACGTGAAGGTCTCCGACGGGTCCTCTGGGTTACAGGGCAGATGGGGCGGGCAAGGCCGGCGAGGGTCAACACTGGTTGCCCGAAAAAGGACAACTGCAGAGGCCGGGAACTGAGAACACGGGTGGACACGCAGGCCAAGAGCACGCACGTCTGGTCCCCCTCTGGCTGAGGCGGTTCCTTACAACGCGGGACACTGCGGGGGTGACGAGGCCTGAGTGCCAGGCACCCCCAGGGCAGCCAGCAGGGTGCACGCGACCCAGCAGCGGTGTCGCAGGGGGCGCCTGTCCCTCAATGAGCGCAGTTCCGGTGCACAACCATGGTCTGGAGCGTCCAGCCCCGGAAAGGCCTACCTCGCTGAGAGCGCCACCTTCCATCCCAGCCAGCTGCGCCTCGAGCTGTTCGCTCACACACATGATCTCTTTTTCTTTGTTTTGCAGAAACTCCTGTGGAAATACAATAACCATGCCAACAAAACGGGACTTGGGGGTAGACCCTGATCTGGCAGACGGGAAGCACCCCAACAAGCCGCAGCGTTAAAGACTAACTCAATCTGGAAACGGTTCCCCGTTTACTACTGACCAGGGAGGGAGTCCCACCAGGAAGACGCCTGCTGCCTGGGGTTGGCCTGAAACCCCGTTTCCACTGAGGTCACACACACAGCCTGGGAGCGTCCCCATGAACCCCACACCCTGAGTGTCTTCCAGCGCCTTCAGTTCACGCACCGACAGCTGCCGGGGTGCCACAGGCGAGGGCTTGGCCCTAAGGCCGTTTCTTTACAACTTGTTCTCCACTAAAGCACATTTAAGGTAACAGAAGATTTAAAAACAGAGTTTTGGGGGGCGCCTGGGCAGCTCAGTCGGTTAAGTGCCCGACTCTCGATCTCAGCTCAGGTCATGGTCTTGGGGTCATGAGGTTGAGCCCCATGTCGGGCTCTGCGCTCATCGGGAGTCTGCTCGATTCTCTCCTTCTGCCCCCCACACCCACTCTATAATCAATCAATCGATCTCTTTTTCATCCTGCTCTTAGCAAAGATTAACAATGAGCAGCTATTTAATAAAAGTCACCTCTTCTAGATCAGGGTACCCTTTAATGACCCAAATTAGGTCAAAGGTGACGATTTATTTCCTCTTCACAGTTTCTGCCATCAGGCAGCTGCGTCTCTCCTGCAGCGTGAGTCCCACAAGCGTCCTCTAAGACGGGGCTCCCAGAGCCACAAGCAGGACGTGGAGGATGGCGCCCGAGGGACGCAGCACCAAGGCGGCTCTGGGCTCCGCCCCGCGGTGCACCTTCCAGAGCCACCCCAGCACAGAAGGCAGGCACCTCCCAAAACGGTGGCGGAGGGCCATCCTCGGTCTTCACAACATCTGCGCCGCGACCCACGGGCCCCGGGCCGGCTGTAGCACGGACGTAACCAACATGAACTCAAGTGTCTGGGTGGGTCTCCCCGGTTTACCTTCAAGCTGGCGTTCTCCTCTTGAAGTTCCCGCACTCTGACGGCAGCACGGCTGCTCTCTGCGTCTAATTTCAAGTTCAGATGCAGCACTTCGTCGCTCTTACTTACTAAGTCATCTTTAATCTTTCCTAATTGTTCTTTTAAGTCCAAAACCTTTCATTGAAACAGAAAATATTAAAGGTTATCTAATATTCTAAATCACTCAGTAATTATTAAAATTACTTTAAAACATTTAAAAGCACCGGCCACGCAGAATTATTAACGCTTCGTAATTGTTAACATCACGCAGTACAGAATATGGCAGGCACGACCACCTCCCAGATCAGGCGGGTGTCCTGCCCTCACCAGCAGCCCGAGCAGATGGAGCCTTCGGAGCCCCCGACACTTGCCTCGCTGTCCCGCTGCTGGAGCGCCCTCTGCGCCGCCTCCAGCTGGGCTTCCGGGCCCTCAGGACAGCTGCCTGCAGGAGGCACAGGGCATCTGCCCTCATCGAGTTTAGACTGCAGCGTGGACACCAGCAGCAAGTTACTCATCTGCTGCTCCCGTAATGCCTCTTTATCCTGACAGAAAAGAGAAAGGGGGGGAGATTTATTTTAGGTAAGTATTTTAGGAATCGGGGGCCTCAAACTGTGATGTGAGTGCACAGTGTCCTCAGATCCTCCTGGCGCTCAGCCGAGCAGGCCTGTGCATGCCAGACGTGTGATCCAGACCAGCCGTGCCCCAGAGCAGAGATCCACCTGGTGAAAGACGTGATCCAGACAGAGAGCCGCACTGTGTGCCTGTGATTCCTCCGATAATTATTCAAGAAGATGCAAAATAGTCTCTAGACTACTGGCTATTACAGAAAAAAAGGTAAAGAGCTTGCCCAAGAATAGGGTAACAGCTGACAATGACATTGTCCATCTGTACGATGCACATTAACATCTCATTAAAAGTTTTCAAAGAACATTTACTATGAAAAAATCAGTCACAACAAATTGAGTGAAGAAGTTACATAAGTGGTTCAACTTTGTGGAAGGGAAAAAGGCATTTTCTATACCTGTAGCATCTAATAAGCTCAAGAAATGTTTACTGAGAGAAAGAGGGAGGGATGGAGGAGGGAGAAAAGATGGAGGGAGGAGAGATGGAGGGAGCAGAGGTGGGGGAGAGGGAGGAGGGGTGAAGGGAGGAGGCATGGAGGGAGCAGAGATGGAGGTAAGAGGGAGGAGGGATGGAGGGAGCAGAGGTGGAGGGAGGAGGGAGCAGAGGTGGAGGGAGGAGGGATGGAGGAATGGAGGGAGCAGAGGTGGAGGGAGGAGGGATGGAGGAAGCAGAGGTGGAGGCAGGAGGGATGGAGGAGTGGAGGGAGGAGGGATGGAGGGAGCAGAGGTGGAGGGAGGAGGGATGGAGGAATGGAGGGAGCAGAGGTGGAGGGAGGAGAGATGGAGGAAGCAAAGGTGGAGGGAGGAGGGATGGAGGGAGCAGAGGTGGAGGGAGGAGGGATGGAGGAATGGAGGGAGATGTGGAGGGAGGAGGGATGGAGGGAGCAGATGTGGAGGGAGGAGGGCTGGAGGGAGCAGATGTGGAGGGAGGAGAGATGGAGGAATGGAGGGAGCAGAGGTGGAGGGAGGAGAGATGGAGGGAGCATAAGTGGAGGGAGGAGGGATGGAAGGAGGAGGGATGGAGGGAGCAAAGGTGGAGGGAGGAGGGATGGAGGGAGCATAAGTGGAGGGAGAAGGGATGGAGGGAGGAGGGATGGAGGTAGCAGATGTGGAGGGAGGAGGGATGGAGGGAGCAGAGATGAAGGCAGGAGGGATGGAGGGAGCAGAGGTGGAGACAGGAGGAATGGAGGAGTGGAGGGAAGAGGGATGGAGGGAGCAGAGGTGGAGGGAGGAGAGATGGAGGAAGCAGAGGTGGAGGCAGGAGGGATGGAGGAGTGGAGGGAGGAGGGATGGAGGGAGCAGAGGTGGAGGGAGGAGAGATGGAGGAAGCAGAGGTGGAGGCAGGAGGGATGGAGGAGTGGAGGGAGGAGGGATGGAGGGAGCAGAGGTGGAGGGAGGAGGGATGGAGGAATGGAGGGAGATGTGGAGGGAGGAGGGCTGGAGGGAGATGTGGAGGGAGGAGGGCCGGAGGGAGCAGATGTGGAGGGAGGAGAGATGGAGGAATGGAGGGAGCAGAGGTGGAGGGAGGAGGGATGGAGGAAGCAAAGGTGGAGGGAGGAGGGATGGAGGGAGCATAAGTGGAGGGAGAAGGGATGGAGGGAGGAGGGATGGAGGGAGCAGATGTGGAAGGAGGAGGGATGGAGGGAGCAGAGGTGAAGGCAGGAGGGATGGAGGGAGCAGAGGTGGAGACAGGAGGAATGGAGGAGTGGAGGGATGGAGGGAGCAGAGGAAGAGGGATGGAGGGAGCATAAGTGGAGGGAGGAGGGATGGAGGGAGCAGAGGTGGAGGGAGGAGGGATGGAGGGAGCATAAGTGGAGGGAGGAGGGATGGAGGGAGCAGAGGTGGAGGGAGGAGGGATGGAGGGAGCAGAGGTGGAGGGAGGAGGGATGGAGGGAGCAGATGTGGAGGGAGGAGGGATGGAGGGAGATGTGGAGAGAGGAGGGATGGAGGAAGCAGAGGTGGAGGCAGGAGGGATAGAGGAGTGGAGGGATGGAGGGAGCAGAGATGGAGGGAGGAGGGATGGAGGGAGCAGATGTGGAGGGAGCAGAGGTGGAGGCAGGAGGGATGGAGGGAGGAAGGAAGGGGAAACAGGGAAGAGGATGGAGGGAGCAGGGAAGGCTGCGGGGGGCACTGATGCACGCAGCAGCCCTGCACTGAGCTGCGCACCCGAGCCAGAACAGGAAGTGGCTAGAGCAGGGGCAGGGCGCCCCTGTTGTGCTGGGTGTCCCTCCCGAGACCGTGCTGGTCCTCCAGAAGAGCCCTGACTTCAGTTAACTGTCCCTGTCCGCATGTTCAAGAATCAAACTCTCCTCTTGGAAGCCAGTCTTGTCTTAGGGCCAAAACTGATCGTAAAGGAAGGGTCTCCTGACCCTCACTTTTCAAGTACCCCTTTAACCTCCCGTGACGTGGAAGACACGAAAATCAGAGAAGTTCCATTCCTAGGCCAAACGGCTGGAGGGCACAGTGACTGGACTGGCCACACCGCCGGCCGCCCAGAGCAGCCAGAGGACCTCCGGTTTGAACTTCAGACACCAACAACATCATCAGTATACCATCGAGGCACGATCCTAACGACAGTATGAAAAACTGTCCCTGGAGAGTGTTTTTACTGGGAAGTTGACATACTTTCTAAATTCAAAAATTAAAATATTTATAACTAGCTCTAGGTTAATATTTAACAAAGTTCTTCTAAACCTAAAATCCTGACTTTAAGAAATTACCACGGACAAATTCAGACTCCTTAAGAGAAAGAAGTGCCATCAAAGGGATAAAACATGCTACTTTCCGAGATGACTAAGAGGTTCCTAAGATGAAATAACTACTTGGTCAGACTCCTGGCTCAGTGCTCCTAGAAGCCCCGGGAGTCCCTGAGTGAGGACTGTGACAGTGTCTGATGGCCACACCTGACTTTGCCTTGGAGGTCACTCGTGGACAAGCCGTGGGATTAGGGCTGGTCTGTCAGCTCCCTCGCCACCTCCTGACCTCCGGGGAGTGAAGCCTCCATGAAAACCCCCAAGGACTGGGGTTCAGGGAGCTCCCAGCTTGGGGAACCCGTGGAGGTGGCGCGCCTGGAGGGGGCACGGAAGCCCCACCACCCTCCCCCTGTGCCCTGCCCTCTGCCTCTCCCATCTGGCTGTTCCTGAGTTCCATCCTTTTCTAATGAGCTGGCCATCTGGCACGTAAACGGTTTCTCTGAGACCCGTGAGCCGCTCTAGCAAATCAACCGAACCGGAGGAGGTCACGGGAACCTCGACTGATACAACAGGACTTGTGAATGACCCCTGAAGGGACTGAGCCCCTTGCCCATGGGGTCTGAGGCCATCTCCAGGTGGACGGTGCGTGAACAGAGTCACAAGGCCCCCCGCCGGGGTCTGCAGGCGTGTAGGGAGCCTCCGCAGCCGCCTGGTGACCAGAAGAAGGGTTGGAAGTGAAGCAAAGTGTGTGCAGCTGGGGCCAGGCAGCACAGGAGATGCGAGGGGACGCTCCCCTTAGAGGAAATAAAGCAGGGGTCGGGGTGGACGCCAGCAGAGTGCAGGCACAGCAGCCCCACCAGGAGGGCTCAGCCCCGCCAGCCCCACGGAGCCCCCAGCAAAGCACAGGCGGCTACCTGCTGCAACGCTTTCACAGTGTCCCTCTGCTTCTCCAGCTCCTCCCGCAGCTGGGCCGCCTCTCTTCTGCAGCTGACATTTGTCTCCTCCAGACGTTTGATTTCCTCTTCCTGGATTAACATTTGTCTGTCCGCCAACTCTTTCTTTATAACCAACTCATTAAACCCATCTGATTTCTCTCTCAACTGTTCTTGTAACAATTCAACCTAAGACAACAGAAACGCTTGAGAAATACAATAGTGAAAACAGTGATCTTCCAAGAAAGCACACGCCACGGCTGAGCGAACACCGACCCCTGGCGAGCTTGTCCACGGGGAGGCGGCACCAGGAGCCGAGTGAGAGATCGTGGTGAGACTGTGATGCAGGCATTCTCTCAGAAGAGATGCAGAAAAACACGAATGCAAGATGTATTAATAAAATAAAGTTAATTTTGTCAGTAGAAAAGCTACTGGGCAATGAAAGAGAAAAGAGCTAGGCATGGTGGCACCCCGGGCGGGGTCCAGAGTCTGGCCAGGTGAAGGTCAGTCCCAGACGGGCTCATACTGCTTGGTCCGCTTGTGTAACTGTCCAGCAAGAGGACAGGTGTGTGGGTGGGAGGGGACCCCATGTGGTGCTGTGGGCTCCACCCCTGTGGGAGTCACCCTGGGGACCTGGGTGAAGGGTGCACGGGACGTCTGTCTGACTGTTTACGCCTGAAAATGAATCCACAATCATCTCAAACTAGGCTCAATGTTTGAAAAGAAGAAGCAAATCCACACAGCCAAGCCAGGCAGGTCTGGCTCCAAGCAGAAAGAAGCAGGAAAAACAAGCAAGAAACAGGCCCTCATGCAACAGCCCTCCCATCGGTGGTGCGGCGGGGCACGCCCACCATGCAGACCCATGACATGCCGTACCTGCTCATACAGCGGCTCCTGCTGTCGTTTTCATGTACATGGAAAGAAAAAATCATTCAAAAGGTTAAGCCGGCCTACAGAACAGCTGCCAGACAGATACTGGCCGGGGCGCGCTTACTTACATCGCTGACGCAGGGGCCCCGGGGCCGTGGCCGAGCCGCCTGTCGGAGCTGCTCCTCCAGCCTCTGGATCTCCCGCTGGAACTCTTCCCGCTCGTGTTCCCTGTCAACAGCCTGCTCCTGTCGAGAGAGAGGCAGTTGGCTTGGACATCTCAGAAGTGCTGGCGGGACACAGCACTCACTTCACTTCTCCCTCCGCAGGGAAGGGGGAAGGCATGAGGTCGGGAGAGGAGACCACCTGCTCAGACGCTGACTGCCCAGCAGGCCTCTCACACTGCAGCCAGCCCTGCTCTTTCATACGTGTGTTCACTAGCCAGGAAATGGGCTCCCAGTCACAGGCACTCTGTGAACGGAGCTAAATGAAGGGCTGACCCTGCAGGTGCAATGAAAGGGAACTTGCGGAACGTGGACAAAAAGAACAGCCACGGGGGGGTGCCTGTGAAACGTGGACAGAAAGAACAGCCATGGGGGGGAGCTTGAGGAATGTGGACAGAAAGAATAGCCACGGGGGGGCACTTGTGGAATGTGGACAGAAAGAACAGCCACGGGGTGCCTGGGGAACGTGGACAGAAAGAACAGCCACAGGGAGAGGAGCCTGGGGAACGTGGACAGAAAGAACAGCCACGGGGCAGGGGGGAGCCTGGGGAACGTGGACAGAAAGAACAGCCACGGGGGGAGGAGCCTGGGGAACAAGGACAGAAAGAACAGCCACGGGGTGCCTGGGTGGCTCAGTCAGTGAGGCGTCTGCCTTCGGCTCAAGTCATGATCCCAGGGTCCTGGGGTTGGGCCCCATGTCGGGATCCCTGCTCAGAGGGGACCCTGCTTCTCCCTCTCACTCCTCCCCCTGCTTGTGCTCTCTCTCGCTCTCAAATAAATAAATAAAATCAGAAAGAAAGAAAGAGAAAGAGAGAAGGAACAAAAGAACGAAAGACCAGACGGCTCGGGCCTGACGGGGGGAGTGCTGGGCATGCAGGGCCTGCAATGTGGGCTGTCGGAGGGCCCTCCAGGCCACACACAGGAACATGTCGACAACCCCCAAGACGTGCACAGAGAGGCAAAGGGACCACAACAAGCTGGCTGTGAATCAGCCCTAACGCTGTGTCACGGGAGCTCACGCTACGAAGATGACTTCCAGGGACGCAAATAAAATGCAGTCGAGACGCTTACGTCCATGAACTGGCGCTGGTTCCTCAAGTGCTTGTCCAGAGCCACCATCTGCTGCTTCAGCGAAGAGAGTTCCTCAGCCTGCTTGGCACACGCTTCATGCCGGGACAGCTGTTCCTCCAGCTCAGCCTCGAAAACCTTCATCTGGGAAAGCAGAGCAGCGCGGTCTCTCTCGGACTGCTTCCTGGCCTCCGACTGCTCCTGGGTTAGACATTCCACTTCCCTACGGAGGGCTAAAGATACAAAGGAAACAGGGAGAAGAGCCCCATGGATCAGGGAGGGTATTGGGCTAAAGCAGAGGCATGAAACATGCACGGCAGGTGCCCCACACGACAGGGCCCTCCGGGGAAAGAGCACACACGTCCGGCCTCCCTGGCAGCCCCAGCCCAAAGCCTGGCCGGGGGCAGGGGCGCAGCATTTCCCTGCGGAAACAAGGTGACACCTCCGGGGAGGAACATGCACTTGCAAGCCAGTGTGAGCCTGTGTCCTGTCAGACACGAAGCCCACCCCCCCTAACAGCCAGCGTTTAGCCAAATACCCACTGAAAATAAAGTCAGGTACTTCAGAAGAAAAAAATATATATATACATCTTTTAAATTAAGATTGGCTGAAATAAAAAACTTTAAAGCCCGAGAAGACTGTATCGTGGTATTTCCAAATGACACATCAGTTAATTTCCTAGGAATTACGACGTTACATATATTCTCCAGTGTGGAAAAAACATATAACTTAAAACTTCCATCAGAGAGAACACGAGCCTCGATGTATAATGTGCTCCCTCCTTGTGCACCCAGGGCTGTGACAGCGTCTTGGAGGAAAAGGGTCCAGCCATCAGTATGCCAAAAGCCAATCTAAAATTAACTGGATGATAAGGCCATAACCCAAGTGGAAACTGTAAATTCATAAGCATCTATAATGAAAGGAGGCTTGCCTCTGATGAACCCTCAAGTGCTCAAACTATCTGCAAACTATCTGCAAGTGCTCAAACTATCTGCAAACTGAAATTTTAATTTCTTGTTTTGTTTTACAAAAATCTGTCAGTTTTTTATGCCAAACAAATAGAACGTTCCCAATCAATTCTCATGCTAGTAAGTCAGCACCTAGGGTAAATTGCCTTAAACATGCAGTTAGAACAAGGTCATTCCCACCCCTGGAGCCAGCCGGACAGCACCATCCTCAGGGCCACATGCTGGACGAAGGGCATCCACCACAGCACACGTGGCCCCATGCAGGTGGCACTGAGGGGAAGGTGTCATGTGGCAATTCAGGCCACGCTGCGGGCCACCTACGAAGTCGGAGTGGCCCAGGAGCTCCACTCAGGGTCCCTGAGCCCCTCCCTCAAGACTTCCGGGGCCCCCAGAGCTGGCCCCCAGCCCAGGACAGCGCATCTACCACCAGACGTGGATCCCTGCACAGCTGCACAGGCCGTAGCTCGGTAACCACAGAGCATCACTGGACAAAGGCTTGTGCATGTTCATGTATCAATTCAGAAGGTTAAAGCTGGTGTTTTTGTTAACAGTTTGCCACAAAAGCCTTGAAGTATTTTTCCTCTTTAGTAAAAAACTGGGGCAATCTGGTGCAGACATCGCTCATCTAACATAGCAATCACTGGACTGAGTTTACAAACCTGAGTCCTCGTGTGCTATGGGAACAGGAGTGCCTATGAATGAAAACACAGCATTTTCAGACGTGGAGACAGAAAGTTAGTCAGCGGGCTTCCAGGGCACGTCTGTGGTCCTGGACAGTCTCGAACATCCACGCTTTTCCGTAACGCCACCCCGATGGTCTGAACATCTGTGTCCCCCCAACATCCGTACATTGAGCCTCACAAATGGGATCTGAGCCTTCCCAGAGGCCCCAGAGAGCGCCTGGCCCCTTCTGCATGTGAGCACACAGCCAAGAGGCTGGCGCTCATCAGAGAGCAGCGTGCCAGCGCCTTTATCGTGGACTTGCACCTCCAGGACGGAGGGCACAAGTGTCCATTGGTTGTACCGATCTGCACTATTCTGTGAGGGCAGCCCAGGCAGACTAGTTGCCTTTGGGTTGCAGCAGTCCTGGATGCCAAAGGATATGGCACTGACTTTTAAAGGAGACAAAAACCCCACACGGGATAGAAGGCACTGCCCTGAAAACAGCCATGAAACATGCCACACACCTGCAAACAGGTGAGGCAGAGCTGAATTTCCCCACAAGGTGCAAGGACTTCCAAAAGCTCTTAGAAAGTTGGTCAACACTCACGAGGACCCCAGGCAGAATCAGGGCCACACCCTGGACCGTAGCTGGGGAAGCCCGTGGTCAGGAAAGGTTAGGAGGTGCTGTGCAGATGGGCAGCATTGTATTGGTTTATTTTTAGAGATTTACTTATTTGAGAGAGATGGGGAGAGAGAGAGTGTGCACACATGCGTGTGAATGTGAGCAGGGGGAGTGGCAGAGGGAGAGAAGCAGACTCCGTGCTGAGCATGGAGCCCAATGCAGAGCTCGATCTCACCATCCTGAGAGCATGACCTGAGCCGAAACCAAGAGTCTGATGCCTACGCGACTGAGCCACCAGGCGCCCTGGACAGAATTTTAAACAACTTAAGCATGCGTGAGTCCTGAAATGGAAGTACAGAATTGTGTGGATGGGTGAAGGGAAAGGAAGAGAGATCAGAGAAGGAATTCAGCCGGAGCAAACAATGTAAGAAAAAAGCCAACCAGGGAGCCCAGAGGACCCCAGAGGGGTGACAAAGGGAAGCAGCAAAGACTGGCCTCACTCTCACTTCTGCCAAGGAGTGCCAGGGCTCTGGGCGCAGGGGCAACCAGAGATGCAGAAGGGCAGCTGTGTCCACAGCCTTGGGAAGACACGCAGGAGGAGCCAGGCCCAGGCACGGCGGAGCCGCTGGGGATGCACCTCACAGAGGTAGGGCCACTCAGACGAGGCTGCTCCCCAGCTCTGGGCTATGCGGCTGCTCAGCGGCTCAGGCCCCAGCTCTAGAGTCCCGACACCCGGGAAGTACGTACGTTTACAGGGGTAAACTCAGTGGATGGGTGTGGGTCTGGCCACCCCACAGACCCTCAGGCTGGGGCAGTAACAGCTGAGAATGAGCGGAAGGGACCCTGCACAAGGCACAGAATCCACACATGCCTGCCCACACTCACGTGCTCACTCTCACACAGGTGCACGCCCACACTCACGTGCTCACACTCACAGGTGCACGCCCACACTCACAGGTGCACGCCCACATTCACGTGCTCACTCTCACACAGGTGCACGCCCACACTCACGTGCTCACACTCACAGGTGCACGCCCACACTCACGTGCTCACTCTCACACAGGTGGACGCCCACACTCACGTGCTCACTCTCACAGGTGCACGCCCACACTCACGTGCTCTCTCACAGGTGCACGCCCACAATCACGTGCTCACTCTCACAGGTGCACGCCCACACTCACGTGCTCACTCTCACAGGTGCACGCCCACACTCACGTGCTCACACAGGTGCACGCCCACACTCACGTGCTCACTCTCACACAGTTGCACGCCCACACTCACGTGCTCACTCTCACAGGTGCACGCCACACGTGCTCACTCTCACACAGTTGCACGCCCACACTCACGTGCTCACTCTCACAGGTGCACGCCCACACTCACGTGCTCACTCTCACAGGTGCATGCCCACAATCACGTGCTCACACTCACAGGTGCACGCCCACACTCACGTGCTCACTCTCACACAGGTGCACGCCCACACTCACGTGCTCACTCTCACAGGTGCACGCCCACACTCACGTGCTCACTCTCACACAGGTGCACGCCCACACTCACGTGCTCTCACAGGTGCACGCCACACGTGCTCACTCTCACAGGTGCACATCCACACTCACGTGCTCACTCTCACAGGTGCACGCCCACACGTGCTCACTCTCACACAGGTGCACGCCCACACTCACAGGTGCACGCCACACGTGCTCACTCTCACACAGGTGCACGCCCACACTCCCGTGCTCACTCTCACACAGGTGCATGCCCACACTCACAGGTGCACGCCCACACTCACATGCTCTCTCACAGGTGCACGCCCACACTCACGTGCTCACTCTCACAGGTTCACGCCCACACTCACGTGCTCACACTCACAGGTGCACGCCCACACTCACGTGCTCACTCTCACACAGGTGCACGCCCACACTCACATGTTCACTCTCACAGGTGCACGCCCACAATCACGTGCTCACACTCACAGGTGCACGCCCACACTCACGTGCTCACTCTCACACAGGTGCACGCCCACACTCCCGTGCTCACTCTCACAGGTGCACGCCCACACTCCCGTGCTCACTCTCACACAGGTGCACGCCCACACTCACGTGCTCACTCTCACAGGTGCACGCCACACGTGCTCACTCTCACAGGTGCACACCCACACCACGTGCTCACTCTCACACAGGTGCACGCCCACACTCACGTGCTCACTCTCACACAGGTGCACGCCCACACTCATGTGCCCACTCTCACACAGGAACGTGTCCACACTCATGTGCTCATACAGGCTCACAGGGAGGCGCACACCCACTCACAGATACACACACAGGTGCATGCCCAGGCTCACAGGCTCGCTCACACATATGCTTGCTAACGCAACTGCCCACGTGCACACATGCTCTCACGCATGAATGGAGCCTCGCTTGACACCAGGATGGCTGGGCACCAGGCAGAGACGAGAGCAGAGGAGAACGGGACAGGCTCAGTGGCATGAACGAGGAAGGAGCAAACACAGAAGGAGAACTGGATGCACAGCTCACGGTCAGCAGAAGAAAGTCCCTTCCACCCAGAGAGACACGGGAAGGAGAGCAGGTCACCAGAAGAGCGCAGGCGGACCGAGAGGCTGCTGGCACAGCCACAAAACACAACAGGAGACACCGCGCATCAGCTTCTCAGAAGTCACGTTAACATGAGATCCACAAGAGACACAGCTGAAGGGGGAAAGAGGCTTAAAATAAAGGGTGAAAATGACACACAAGAGAAAAAACAAAGCCGGGTTAAGTTTTCAACATCAGAAATTTACCTCAAAAAGTGGAAAAGGGACAGAGATACGTATAGGTAGACAGATGTTATCAAAAGAGAGCCAAGCAAGAAGAGGTCTCGAATGATCACACGCAGACCTTCTGCAACATCCCACGTGGGTGGAAACCAAGAGCCACTGACAAGTCACTCTGCCTCAAGAGCCATGGGACCCGCCTCTCGGCACCAGTAAGCGCCCACCCAAGAGAGCTCACAGGACGAAGAAGGCCAGAAAGAATAAAGACAAGGCCAAAAACCAGTGAGTGGAAGACAAAGAAAAGGGCGATGATCAGCAACCCCAAGAGCTGGTTGTGTATTGCGGGAAATTAAGAAGAAAAGAAAAACCACTTTCCCAACTTGTTCAGGGTGGCACAAAAACGGCTAAGGCTGCCCCACAAAGGAGACCTGCGCACTACGACCCGTCTGAGCCAGAACCCAGGAGCCAGGGGCAGCCCGCTCCAGGCCTGTGGAAGACGGGGACACGCACCGAAGCCGGCTGGGGTGAGGGCAGGTGGGGAGAGAAGCGGGGCAGAAGCCAAGGGTTCTGGGGCACCCATGCATAGCCGCTTCTTCCGATTCTGCCACCTGCCAACTCAACAATCTGAACTCCTCACGTTTTGACTGTTCATACTTGAAATATTTTAAATACGAAACCTCTAATTACCTGAAATCACAACGAACTTCCGTTACAACTACGTTTTCCTACTTACGATTAATGTCACACGATTTTTTAAAATTTTAAATAAAAATTTTAAGTAGCCCGCATTTTCCCACAGTCTTGGCTATTTGCCTCAAACAGTGAAAAGCTCTTTTACTGACAACGATGACGTTTTCAGTAGGCTGCTGTTTGCCAGAAGTGATTCTGACCTCACACAGGTAAGAACGCTCAGTGGCCACCAGGGCGATCAGCCCCTCTAACGGAGTAGCAATGCGGGGGGCGCTGCGCCAGCCGGCACGCACAAGGCCCCTCAGCCCAGGGCCCCTGCCTTCTTTCCTCTGCCCTCCACCAGAGTGAGCGTCGGCAAAAGGCATCAAGACTGCTGCCCCTGGTCCCGCCCTCCGACCCCGGAGCCGGCAGTTCTTACCAGCTTCTCTCTCTTCCGCTTCTGCGGCCAAGGCCTCCTTTTGGGTCCACAGGGCAGAGTTCTCCTCCTTCAGCTCTGCCTGCTGCTGGGTCGCCCGCTGCAGCTGCTGCCTCAGGCTCTCCAGCTCCACAGCGAGGCCCTGCTCGGCCGTCTCCTTCTGGCCCAGAGCCTCCTGCAGGCTGGCCTTCTCCACCTTGAACCCTTCGATGATGCCTGAGGAGACGGGGACAGACCCAGCTGCTGAGGCCTTGCTGGAGGAGCAAAAGGATGGGCCAGCCGAGGGCATCCCAGCCCCAGCAAGATGTCAGCCATGGGACGTGAGCTGAGTGGTCACGCCCGTGTCCCGTTCCTGGATGGACGGCACAGGGCTGGCGCACCCAGGAGGCGCGGGAACCACCAGACGAGGTGACACGCCTTAGAGCGGCCACGTACAAGACACCCACACCACGCGTGCACAACCCCAGCAGTGTGGGGGTCAGAGGGGCCAGGAATGCCACTTTCTGGGGCACCCACCGCCTGCGAAGGGAGGACCGACACTCTCGTCTCACCACACGAGGCAAGGCCAAGGCTGTCAGCCCAGGGAGCGGCGCTACCGCGCTTGTAAGCTCTTTCACTGAGGCCTCACACCGTGCCTTTTTCAGTTTTACATTTTGCTTTTAAAACCTCTGCTAACACCTGCCCTTCCCTCGTGCCTCTGGCCTGTGCGGCCCCTACAGTCCTTCCCCGCCCGCGGCCGGCGCTCACCCTGCGCCTGGTGCAGCTCCAGCGTCAGCCGCGTGCGGGCCGCGTTCTCCTCATCCAGGCGCTCCACTAACTCCTGGTGCTTTCTAACGACCTGCGCGGTTTCCTCGTTCTTACAGCTAAATTCCTTCTCAAAACGAGAATGAATCTGACGTGCTTCCTCCAGCTGTTAAAACACATTTGAAAACCGGAACTGCACATTAAAATAAAGCCGACGTTAACATTAACAGAATTAGAATTCTGGCACAAGTAGAATTCTGACAAAACCACAAATATCCTGTAAGAAACGATACTGACGTTCAATATTGTGTCAATTACTAGACCAATCTGCTCATTCAACAATTTTCAAGAAGGAAAAATTCTGCACACAAACACATACGACGCGGCACGGAAAATCTACATGTTCATCAACTATCGGAATAAGCTGTTAAGGAGAAGGTGCATTTCAAAGGTCACAGCAACTGTCCACTGAGATCCTAGAACCTGGGCAGGGATGACCACCTGGCACTCCACAGGTGGAAGAGGAGACGGGGAGGCCGTGGCCGGGAGGAAAGGCATCGTGGGCCGGTCACCAGAGTGGGCAGGGGGCCTGACGCGTCTTTACCACCAGCAGACCCTCCCTGACTCAGTCACCACAAGGCCCCTCTGGGCCTCCTCTGATGCCACCCAGGCCTGGTTCAGTCCCAGGCCCCAATCTCACCCTCCTCCCCCGGCAGCTGTGCCCACCCTGCCCAGCCCAAGGCTCCCAGGCCATCGACAGGCTGGGGGCCCCAGACGAACCTCCGAATTCAAACACCTACACCCAACTGTGCCAACAGACACACCTGAGCACCTACCCTGGGCCTCTCTGCCTCCTTCCTACTTACTGCAACTCCAGCTTCCCCAGACCCTGCCTCTGAGGGCATCTACGGGTTTCCCCTTGAAAACAGCCCCAAGGCTCCCTCTTCTCATACCTTCACCAGGTGGGGAAAACTTATTCAAGGATTTCTGGGATGTAAACAGCAATGTTTCGGCTAAAAATGCTTATTTTCTAAATGGGCTGAATGGGAAAAAGAATCTCCATACTGCTTTTCATACATTCATATTTAAGGTCTTTCCTGTCTAAAATGTTCTAAAAGATTAACAAACATAATTCCCTTTGCTAGCGATAATCTCTAAACATAAATATATTCAATGTGAAATTAAAATGGTCAGAGGAGGGCGCCTGGGTGGCTCAGTTGGTTAAGCGACTGCCTTCGGCTCAGGTCATGATCCTGGAGTCCCAGGATCGAGTCCCGCATCGGGCTCCCTGCTCGGCAGGGAGTCTGCTACTCCCTCTCCCTCTCCCCCCTCTTGTGCACTCTCTCTCTCTCTCAAACAAATAAATAAAAAAATCTTAAAAAATAAAATAAAATAAAATGGTCAGAGGATAAAGCAGAGTAAAGGTAAAAGACCGAACCATGTGTCCTTGACCTGACACTCAGCTCTTACTTTCCATTGGCAGCAAGCCTACTGCTTCCAAAATTTCGGTTCAGAAAAGACTTCTGCTTAGGAAAAACACACAGGAGAATATCAGTGGTAGTAACAGAAGATCCAAACAGAACTGATTTTCTGCCCCCAATGCCCAAAGGAGGAGAGAAGAGCGAGGGAAGCCAGATCCACCTGGAAAGTGCCAACGCCCCTTCTCACCCTGCAGGTTACAGTCAAGAATCAGAAACACACATGTGCGGCGCCCAGCGGAGCGCCTGGGAGCTACACCATCCTCATCTATCAAGGTTATGCCACCAAACCACTCAAACTATCCACTTATTCAACCCATTATCCTTCTCAGAAAAAGAGAAACACTTACAGGAGCCAAAATAGGGCCACGGATGGACAGCACCCAGAGCCATGTCTCACCTGCCTGGTGGAGTCCAGAGCCAGCTCCAGCAGGCCATCCACCGCCAGCCCAAGGCTCCGGTAAATTCTCCTAATTGGCTGCTCACACTCCAGCGAACTTTCTGGGCTCATGAAAAAGCTTTCACAGATGTGACTGCTAATTTCAGCGTCTGAAGACATCTCCACACATTCAGACAAAGTTTTGTCCAGCTCCAGCAGGGCTGCCTCGGACCCAGGCCACGTCTCATCAAGCACTGGTACTGCAAAGTGAGCAAACACAGAAACCTGCATATACCGCGTGAAAAGCAAGCTCACATGACCAGTGTTGTCGAAGGATAAGCACACCCATGTCCCCAGGACAACGACCCATCCCAAGCATCAGGAGCTCAAGCATCAGCCCCAACAGGGAAGGAGGACAGCACCCAGCGCCCCAGCCCAGGGGCTGCAGGCACCGGGCTGTCCTGGCACTCACCTGCAAACAGGGCCTGGCCACTGGGCCGCGCATCAGGTAGGCCCTCATCCTCCAGACAGAGCCCCACGCGCTCACCGATCCGGCTCTTCAGGGTGATGGCAGCCTTCAGCATTTCTCCAAATAAACTGAGCAGCCTCCGCAGAGCATCTCGGAGCGCTCTCCTGAACAAAGCACACAGCGGACAGCGGGCTGTCAGCCATGACCCTAACTGTCTGACTCCGACAAGAGGGGCACAGCCCAGGGGGCAGCTCTGCCAACAAGACCAAACCTTTGGGCTGCTGCCCCTGACTTAAAAAGACGTCATCTTATTGCTAGTTTTAGCGGGTCCCTGTCCCCACTCACAGCCTTCCTGACCCTCAGGAGGACAGCTCTCCACGGCGAGCCTGTGTGCCTTTTTAGCACTTGTTTGTAGCTGACGCCTCCGTCACCCTCCACCCACCAACATGGCCCTGTCCGTCCAGAGCACAGTGACCCTGTCCAGGATATAGCCGGGGGCAAAGTGCTGCAGCCTGCGTGTGAGCTGGAGCCAGTGCAGGGTCCTTACACCGGGGAGATGCCAGGGCCAAGTGGGCAGGAGACAGGCTCATCCACCCCCATCCGTTGCCACGTTCGCATCCCCATCATGGGCCTGGAACAAGGTCTGCTCCCAACATGGGGACATGCCCCTGAACAAAACACACTGGGAGCTGCCCCTTACAGGGCTAAGGCACCAGGGGAAAGACACAGGAAGGAGGGTGGGAAGGAAGCAGCGGGGCAGACTACGGAGCATACGGATAGCTGGGGGCCCAACGGCTCCCTGCTGCTGCCCAGGCCGCCACAGGTGGCGACCGAGACCTGAGGACAGAGGGCAAGGCAGGCACAGGAGAGAAGGCCCTGTGGGGGCAGCGGGCGGAGGCAGGCACGAGGATGACCGCGGATACGGTGGGTCAGGGAGCGTAGGTGTCAGCTCTGCTCTGAGAAATCACGAGTCCCCCTCAGAGCTGGCCCCACCTCCTCCTCACGCCCCGTCCAGGCCAGGATGGCTCCAGTCCCCATGAAGGGGTGCCTATTTTAAATGGTATCTTGGAGGCTTCCAGATGTTTTCGGGATTCTGTTTGCTTCTTTACAAAATATTTCTAAACTGAGGCAAACTGGGATGCCTGGGTGGCTCAGTCAGTTAAGCGTCTGCCTTCGGCTCAGGTCATGATCCTGGGGTCCTGGGATCGAGCCCTGCGTCAGACTCCCTGCTCAGCGGGGAGCCTGCTTCTCCCTCTGCCTGCAGCCCTACCTACTTGTGCGCTCTAATAAATAAATAAAATCTTTAAAAAATATAAATAAAAAATAAATAAACTGAAGCAAGCAATTAAAAGAAGTCAGAATGGCTTCTGAGGCCTCTTGACCTTCCCCCCAACCCCTCTGCAGACACGCTGGGACGAACTAGTACTGGGGTCCTGCCCCCAGTGCCATTTTCCTCTATTCTCTCTGCCAAGCTTCCTTTTCCTCTGACCTTCTTCCCACTTCCTCCTCTCCTGAACCTATTAAAACCTGCCTCTCTAAAGTCTTCTGAGGATCTACACAGACCTCAAGCTTCCTATGTTCTCTGGACAAGACCAAATTGCGAGCCATAGTTAAAAGAGCTTCCTAAAGTAACTAAGGGCTCCGATAGGTTTGCTGAAGAATTTAGCAGAGTTACTCAAACTTACCAACCTGGTTTCTCACATTTATATCAGTTAGTCCACATGCTTGTTGGTGAGGGCCACGCCAAACACCGGATGAAACTAGCCCAAAGGAAACATCCCAAGGGGGATTAGAGAATCTAGCATCAACTTCTGTCAGGATGCTAGAACACACGCTGGAAATCACTGAGCAGGTACGGTAGCTTTTCCGAAGCCTGCTGATGGGAACAAAACTCAGGCTTGTACACAAGAGCCTACTAAACCTCTTCACGACCATTACAATGGACTCCAAATGGTCTTTTGAGACCATTCTAGTCTTTCTTTAGATGTTGAATCCACCTGGGTAGCATTTAACTCTATTTTCTAACAGGCTGAACTGGGATCTTTCTCTTAAAAAGGACCAGGACAGAATGGGAAACTGCCCGTTCCAGATTCAGGGACTACGGCAAACCAGCTGCTTACACCCTACAGGAGTCACCTAAGAAACTGCTAAAATCCTCAACTTTCAAATCTGGCAAGTCAAGGCCCCTAAACAAAACCAAAAAAACTTAATAGTTTCTGCTACTGCAAAGAGCCAGGACACTGGTGGGGCGGGGCAGGGGGGCCCTCTAGCCAGTCTTTAAAAAAAAAAAAAAAAAAAAAGATTTTACTTATTTATTTGACAGGGAGAGCACAAGCAGAGGGGGTGGCAGAGGGAGAGGGAGAGGCAGGCTTCCCGCTGAGCAGGGAGCCCGATGTGGGGCTCAATCCCAGGACCCCAGGATCATGACCTAAGCCGAAGGCAGATGTTTCACCGACGGAGCCCCCCAGGCGCCCCTCCAGCCAGCACTTCTGATGTAGGACAGGACAACCAGGAAAGTCCTTCCTGGCACTGAGGGACAAGACCACTAAATATGAAACGCCTGACTCTTGATCAGCAATGCTTCCAAGGCAAGATCCTGCTCAAAAGGGGCAAGTTGTAAAAATTAACAGGAAACCCGATCAGAACAGGGGGAGCTCTCAAGCCCTACCGGCCGCAGACCTGTCAGCAAGAGGCACCTCCACCAGATTCCACATTACTGCCCAGGCAGGAGGAAGCAGGTTTCCTTCTGCCCAGCAACAGCTCAGCCAATGGGAGCCAATCACAACGCAGCCAATGAGAAACCACTTCCAACACCCAGTTTACTCCAATGGCATTTGTTTACAACAGGCCCAGCCCCCCTCCCCTCTATAAAAGAGCTTCCTCGCCCGCCCTCCAGACTGGCTCCTGGCGATGCACCCGCCAGCGTGTCCTGGACTGCGATTCTGTTATTCCTGAACAAGCCCACCTATTGCTGGGAAAACAAACAATCGAAAACCTGGCAATTTAATTTTAAGGTTAACACCACTTATAGCACCAAATCTTGCAGTCTGGCAAAATGTGAAGATTTGGCAAAGTGAGTGGCAGGTATATGGGCATCTTACATCAGTCAGTACTTTTCTTGATGTTTAAAGTCTTTTTGAAAGAGAAGAATAATGTGGCACAGGGTTCCATCCTGCCCGGCATCTCTGTGCACCAGGGCAGAGGTGACAGAGGCAAGTGACTGACCTTTCGCGGTCAGACAGGTCAATGTCGGACTTGAGCATCGAGATGAGATTTGTGCCTTCCTGGTTTTCCCTGTCACGCCTTTGCTGTAGCTTCTCCAGTTCAGAATGGCGCTCTTCTACCTCGTGACTTAAGGATAAAATTTTGTCTTTCAGCTGTTAAGGAAAAATTGTTACAGCTTTATTTTTAGGAATAAACTTCTGTAAGAAACACTCATCATCGCAGTTAACAAAAGTATGGCAAAATATGACAGTGATTAAAGGTGAAAATTACTAATAGGGTCCCCCCCCCGCCCCCACCATTATTCATTGCCTACAAAAACAGAATACACAAACATTCTAGCCTGCCCCAGGCACCAGGGGGAAGGGGCAAATTCACCAGAGATTATTCTCATGAATAAGAATTCAAAATCTCTTTTATGGTCATTTAGAATAAATACTAGTTTCCAGGCAAGTGAAGATCACGCTTATATATTTCTCCTTGAAAAAATAGCCAAGAGAGGCGCCTGGGTGTGCAGTCAGTTGAACATGCAACTCGGTTTCGGCTCAGGTCGTGATCACAGGGTCCTGGGATAGAGCCCCAGTCAGGCTCTGTACTCGGCATGGAGTCTGCTTGAGATTCTCTCTCTCCCTCTGCCCCTCCGACTCATGCATGCACTCTCTCTCTCTCTCTAAATAAATAAATAAATCTTAAAAAAAAAAGTCAACCATCACGGGGTCTCAGTGGGCTGGCTGGTTGGGTGGCACCTGGCTGCCCTGGGCTCCCCAGGCTCCTGAGCACTGACCACAGGTCATTGTGGTTTTGTCACGCAGCTTAGTGAAATGACAAGTGTGTCTTCCCAGCAACAGAGTGACCTGAGCCCACTGCCAACCACCCTGATTCTTCCAGGCTGGTTGAGTTTACTGACAAGAATACGGGCATCCTCCCACAGAAGATGAAGAACAGAGAACATGACAGGGCATGACTGCACACACATGCAGCAGAGAGCCAGGCAGACCGCGTGCCTGTCCCACACCTCTGTCAAGAGTCAAGAACAATGGCTGCTCACAGCTGCTGTGGGCAGTGCACCAGCCAATGCGTGACATGCCTGCCACCTCCAGCTCAGGATCAGACGGGTGGAGCCCAAAAGCAAGTGGACTCCAGGTGGAGAAGCCGTGTGCTTGGGGCACACCCAGCTGGTATGGACATCTCTTCATCCAGGAGCAGGAAAAGCAGGTTTGCATGGGGCAGAAAATTGGTAAGAGAATACGAGAGTGGGACCCATAAAACATTAGAAAGTACAAAAAGGAAACAAAGACCAGATAAAATAAGAGTGTAATTTTGAAACCCCTTATTACAGGAAGGAAAGCCAACTGTAAACATAATTTCAATGCTATGCTTGTAGGGAAATTATAAACCACTGGTTATGTCACACTAAGATGGCAAATAAGGACCACAAACAAACAAAAGAGAAGACGAACAGTGAACCCAAACGCTGCCAGCACAGGAAACCGGTGTGCAGATGGCTCCAGGCATGGCCTGGCCCCAGCTGGTGGGGTGTGAGCAGACGGCAGATGCCTGCCGCACGCGCAGCCCGGAGCCCCGTTCCCATGTCGGCTACATGGGACATGGGGTGAGGCAGCCACACCTGTGACGGCCAGCAGTACAGGCCACCGCAGCGGCTGGTCCCGTCTTTGAGTCCATGGGACAGACTCTCCCTCTGCCCGTCCTGCTACCTCCCTTTCACAAAAAAGTACCTGGTGACTGGGTTTTCCCCAGTCGAAAAACCCAATAGATACACCTCTAGCGACACTGATCCAAAAAGAGAGAAGTACGAACAAACATCTTAGCAAAACGTTTTTTCTGGGGGCCCCGGGGGGGCTCAGTCGTTAAGCGTCTGCCTTCAGCTCAGGTCACGATCCCGGGGTCCTGGGATCGAGCCCCGCATCGGGCTCCCTGCTCCGCGGGGAGTCTGCTTCTCCCTCTCCCTCTGCTGCTCCCCCTGCTTGTGCACTCTCTCTCACTCGCTATCTCTCTGTCAAATAAGTTAATAAAATCTTAAAAAAAAAAAGAAAGAAAGAAAAGGAAACATGATTATTACAATCCTGAAAGGTCTACATTGTGGGACTATCTCAAAAAACAGTATAAATAGGGGCGCCTGGCTGGCTCAGCTGGTGGAGCATATGACTCTTGATCTCAGGGTCACGAGTTCAAGCCCCACATGGTGTGTGGAGCCCACTTGGAAAAAAAAAAAAAGAAAATAGTATAAATGTTACATCTATACTCACAAAAGAAATAATAAACTCAACAACAACAAAAAACCAAACCCAATTCAAAAACCGTCGAAGGACTTGAACAGACATTTCTTCAAAGACACACAAATGGCCAATAAGCTCAGGAAAAGATGCCCCACATCACTCATCATCAGGGAAACGCACATCAAAACCACGATGAGGTCGACAAGATCCCACATCACACCTGCTATGGTGGCGATTATAAACAGAGAAGGTGACAAACGAGCGCTGGTGAGGCTGTGGAGAAACTGGAACCCTGTGCACAGCTGGAAGGAACCTAAGCTGGGGCTTCCGGTGTGAAGACAGTACGGCAACCCTCAGGACACAGACAGGTCGCCGTACGACCCAGCAGTCCTGTCCCTAGACGCGCACCCCAGAACCGACAGCAGCACTTGTACCCAGAGCAACGGCCTCATAACAGCCAAGAGGGAGAAACAAACATCTAGAGGCCTATCGGCACACACACCTGTGAAGACAGAAATACAATGTGGCATTTCCATGTGACAGAGTAGTTATTACTCAGCCACAAAACACCAGGAAGCTTTGACCCACACTCTGACATGCATGGACCCCACAGACATTACGCTGAGTGAAATAAACCAGACACCAGAGGACAAGTGTTGTATGATCCCACTTGCAGGAGGTCCCGGAAGTGGTCAAATTCACTGAGGCACAAAGTAGAAGAGTGGGTGCCAGGGGCTGGAGGGAGGGAAATGGGGAGCTAGCGGTGGTGGGGGCAGGGTTTCTGCTTGTGATGATGATGAGCTGTTCTAGAAATGGATGGTGGTGATAGTTGCACAACCATGTGAATAGGGTTAATACCACGGAACTGTATACTTAAAAATGATTAAAATGGTAAATTTTATGTTATGCGTATTTTACCACACACAAGAAAGTAATAACAAAGAAAAAACATGTGCCACATACCTGCAGAATTTGGTTATTCTTCTCCTGAAGCTGCAGAAACAAAGACTCTTTCTCTTTTTGGTAAAGAGACTGTGCTTGCTCATACTCCAGCCTATGTATCTCCTCCTTTTCATGCAAAGCAACTTTCTTTTCACTTTCAAATTCACCCTGTATAAAAGTAATTAACAAAAACAACAAAAATGCCACTAAGATCTAAAAATTATGCTTTGTTCCATTTCTCTGCTGTTTGCTAAACCACAGTTCATTCAACAAATACTGAGTCCATACTGTGCCAAGAGCAGCGATCAAAAGGGACAAAGCCAGAGTGAACATGTATTCAAAGGTGCTTCTCATACAGAACATAAAGACGACAGCTCGCTGCCTTTCCCAAATGATCACATGAAGAAATTATCCATCACCAGGCTGTCATGACCATCAGAATCCAAGATATTTAGAAACCTAAATTCCGGGCACCTGGGTGGCTCAGTTGGTTGGGCGACTGCCTTCGGCTCAGGTCATGATCCTGGAGTCCCTGGATCGAGTCTCGCGTCGGGCTCCCTGCTCGGCAGGGAGTCTGCTTCTCCCTCTGACCCTCCCTCATGTGCTCTCTCTCTTTCTCTCTCAAATAAATAAATAAAATCTTTAAAAAAAAAAAAAAGAAAAGAAAAAAAAAAAAAAAAAAAGAAACCTAAATTCCTTTGGTTTTAAAACATAAACCCTATTTCTTCCTAAATAATAAAAACTGTTTCTCATAAGGTTCACCTAACAAATTATATTAATGAAATAAGCTTAAAACAAAACAAATACAGAGGCAGCACTTCCAAAATGGCATTATAAGGACCTCCAAAAATGTATTCCTCTATAAAAGCACTGAGAACACTGACAAACAGTGTAAAAATCAACTTTTTCAGAGCTCTGGAAATTCAGAGAGACTTGTAACAATCCAGAGTTTACTACAAACAAAGTCTGAGTCTCCATCAAAAGAGCAAGCTTTGAGGTATTTAAACTTGCCGTAAGGCCATCACTCCAATCTCTGGTATAGCTTCGAAAACAGCAGGCCAGAGGTCTTAAGGGTTGGGGGGACAAAATGGGTTTGGATCTCCCCAAAAGCACCACCCCGGCAACTGTCACTAACTGGCCCATATTGCAGCTCCCTAAAAAGCTCCATTCTCAAAGATGATCTCACAGGGCTCACTCGTCAACAATCCTATCCCCAGGCCATTTAACAAAATCCATCAGCAGCCACTGTTCAACATCACAGTGGCCTGAAACTGATAAACTGATCACAGTTGGAGCCAATAAGAGGAAAACATAAAACTTAAAAGGAAACACTAGGGGCGCCTGGGTGGCTCAGTCGGTTATGTGTCTGCCTTTGGCTCAGGTCATGATCCCAGGGTCCTGGGATCGAGCCCCGTGTCGGGCTCCCTGCTCGGCGGGGAGTCTGCTTCTCCCTCTCCCTCTCTTTCTCTCTCTCTCCCACTGCCCCCCACCCCCACTGCCTGTTCCCTCTCTCCCAAATAAATGAAAACAAAACACTAGAGAATGAGATACCAACAGGGAGCTTTGAAAGGCTCTAACATATTCCTGGGAATTTAGAAAGCAGGTATAGGGCTGTGTACTTATCAAGGAAAACCTGAGAAGGCTCTAAGAGTTCACTCCTCGTTTACCTCACACACACACAAAGTGAAAGCTAAGTAAGAGAAAGCTGCCTGCCAGAGCACTGAAAGCATGCCCCAACCAGAGCCCCTCAATAAGGAGAGGAGAAAGCAGAACTAAAGAGAGATTCTGGAGCTGAGAAGAACAATTACTAAAATGAAAAATTCACTAGAGAGGCTCAACAGTAAATCTGAATGGGCAGAAGAATCAGCAAATATGAAGATAGATCAAATAAGATCATTCAGTGTGGAAAATAAAAAGAAAAAAGAATAAAGAAAAGTGAATAGAAAGGCACCCGGGTGGCTCAGTTGGTTAAGTGTCCAACTCTTGATTTCAGCTCAGGCCATGATCTCAGAGATTTGCTCTCTCCCTCTGCTCGCTCTCTCCCCCTCTCTCTAAATAAATAAAATATTTTAAAAGAAAGAAACAGAGAGAGAGAAAAAAAGAAAAGCAAATAGAGCTTCCAAGGTCTGTGGGACACCCTCAAAGACCAACATACACATAATGGGAGTCACAGAGGAGAGGAGAAACGAACAGGGTAGAAAGACTGCTTGATGATATAATGGCCAAAAACCACAACTTGGATGAAAAAATATTAATCTACAAACACAAGAAGCCCAACTAACCCCAGGTAGGATAAACTCAAAGAGATCCACCCCAAGACACATCCCAATTAAACTGTGAAAGGCGGCAGCAAGAAAAGTGGCTCAACACAAGCCATCCTCAAGGTAAGATCAACAGCCAGCTTACTTCTCAGAAACCACACAGGGCAAAAGGCACTCGGGTGATGTATTCAGCGCTGGAAGAAAAAGACTTAACCAAGAATTCGATATCCAGAGAAAGGAACTCTTTCCAAAATGAGGGAGAAATTAAAACATTCCCAGGTAAATGAAAATTGAGAGAATTCATTACTAACAGGCCTGCCCTGAAGAAATGCTGAAGGGGGTCCTCAAGCTAAAGTAAAAGGACACTAGACGTGAATTTGAATCCATATGAAGAAATGAAGAACGTGGTAAAGGTGACTGAACAAGTAAACTGAAAGACAAAATATAATTTTGGTAATTTTTTTCTTCTGATTTAGAAAAAAACTGAATAAATCAATAAGCGTAAGTTGGATATAGCCGTAGCCTGTATGACGATATCAGCACAAGGGAAAGGGACTGAGGCTACATAGGAGAATAGATTTGTAAACTATTAAAATTAAGATGGTATTAATCTGAACTATACCGTTATAAGGTGTTCACTGTAATCCCCAGGGCAGGCACTAAGAAAATAATTTTAAAAACATATACAAAAGTAAACATCAAGAAAATTAAAATAAAAAGAAGGCAGTAATGGAAAACTAGAAAAATGAGAGAGACAGAAGATACATCAAAAGCTAACAGCAAGTACTGATGCACGCTATAACGTCTATAAACCTAGAAAACATTGTGCTGAAAGAAATCGCACGTATTGTACGATTGCACGTCTTTAAGGTCCAGAAAAGGGAAACCCACAGAAACAGAAAGATTAGCGCTGCCAGGGGCTGGGGGATGGGAGAGGCAGCTAAGGGGTGGGGAGTTCTTTTTGTGGTGAGCTGAATGTTCTGGAAGTAGACAGCAGGGACACTTGCACAATCTGGTGAATACACTAAAACCATGGAAATGTCTACTTAACAAGAGTGATTTTTATGGTATGTAAATTTTATCTCAATAAAGTTGTTAAAAAACCACAATAAAGCTACATTAAAAATCGTAAGAGCGGGTGTGGAGTGTTCACTCATCCTGCACATTCCTCCATGAAAACAGACTACTTGAAGCCAGACAAGCGGTGATGTGGGTTCTGAGTCACCAAAGCACGGCAATAAGACCCAGACTTTCTCAGATTTAAAATACTTGACAACTGGGCGCCTGGGTGGCTCAGTTGGTTGAGCGGCTGCCTTCGGCTCAGGTCATGATCCTGGAGTCCCGGGATCGAGTCCCGCATCGGGCTCCCTGCTCGGCGAGGAGCCTGCTTCTCCCTCTGGCCCTCCCCACTCTCATGTACTCTCTCTCTCTCATTCTCTCTCTCGCAAATAAATAAAATCTTTAAAAAAAAAATTAAAAAAAAAAAATCCTTATGGGGTAGGGGCTCCTGGGTGGCTCAGTCGGTTAAGCGACTGCCTTCGGCTCAGGTCGTGATCCTGGAGTCCCGGGATCGAGTCCCGCATCGGGCTCCCTGCTCGGCAGGGAGTCTGCTTCTCCCTCTGGCCCTCCCCGTCTCATGTGCTCTCTCTCTCTCTCTCTCAAATAAATAAAATCTTTAAAAAAAAAAAAAAATACTTGACAACTTCTTAGCAGGAAAGGTATGATAACCATCCAATTCGAATAGAAAAAAAATGAATGAAAAAGTTGCCTAGCAATGACAATACTTTGCTTTCACTTTGTGTGCCACCACTAATCCAGAGTGCAATCTCTCCCTGACTCGCAGGTGAGAAAGGACAGCAGTAAGTCAGGTCCGGCCGTGCGATCTGGCAATGCTCCCGACTGGCACTCCTCCTCCTCCTGCACCTCAGCCAGAAGAGCGGGGTGCTAGGCCCCAACCTCTGCAGCAGCCAGGGTACCCTGCTTGAATGAGGAGGCCGAGTCAACGCTGAGCCCCTCCTCCATACAGACCTACCTGTTAATACTGGATCACCTTCACTCCACACACCTTCGCTGCGAGGACACACGGGACTCAGGCGATGGCTCACAGAAAACTGACTCACAATCGTCAGAAGACGGGGCATGCGTAGCACAACACTAACATCGTATTTCAAGTCACAGACGCTGTTTCTTATATTTTTATAAACTTTCTCTCCTGAAATAAGTTTAACTCCCAAACCTTTAAGAAGAAGCATCAAGTAAAAACCCCAAGTTATCACGCACTGCAAAGTTTCTGAAGTACTTGGATTACCACGCTTACACCACAATTCCCCTTCTGGGGATGCTGATCCCGCGAGTGTCCGCCACAAACTGTGGGTGAATACAGGAAAAAGCCTGAACACCAGCAGGCACCACAGACCAGCACAGGGCCAAGGCCAAGGGTCAGGACCATACCACCCTTCCCCAAAAAACAGACCTCAGGGAATACTGCCGCCATGTGCAGGACCCTGGGAAACGGAAGAAACCATCAATGTCCAAGAAGAGGAAACCACACCCCCGCCCCCAGCACGCGATGAACTATGACTGGTGTGGGAAACAGAGGCAGAAGAAAATTTATTACATTTCCTTACTCCCTACGGCCCACGGACAAGTCCCTGAAACAGGCAGAGTGACCCTCCTCTAGGGACTCAGCTGCTTCCATGTTAAAACTTTGCTCAGGGCAAAAGGCAATCCTAGCCTGACTCCCCCCAGGATCCTGTGAGTCTACTTTAAGTATAAAAATTCCTCTGGAAACTTCCTTTATCTCTAAACCCCCCAAGACACATGTTGGCAATCATCCCCCAAGCATACAGCCCGCTGATATACATCTGAAGGGTCTCATGACTCAGGTTTTATTAGATGGTAATAAAG